GCAGTCTGAACTACACTGGCAGCTGGAACTCCACCAGCAACAAGGTGGGGAGAAGGAGTGTTCACCGGGAGCTCAGGGGATGAACCCAAAGAACTGCCCGTCGTGCTGGTTTGTTGGTTTGACCAGGAGCAGAGACAGAGCGGCAGGTCCCAGATGGGCAGGTCTAGATGAAGGGCATTGGTCACCTGGGTTTGCCCAGCCCTTCAACGGTGAGCCCTCTTGCCCTTTGCACATGCTTGGTACTGCCAGGGTTACAGCCTGGTGTGGCTTGAAAGAAAGGGCAGTGACAGAAATGTGCCATGACACCCTGAGGATTTGTCACTTGTGTGAGGGCAAGCATGTCAGCTGCCCAGGGTGGGTGGTGGCAGAAGCGTCACTGCATAAACAGAGCTGTAAGGGGACAGGAAATGTCACCAGTGGAGTCCAGGCTTTCTGTTGTACACAGCTTCCTGTTCGCTAACATTTCCTCCTCCTCCTCCTCCTTCTTCTTTAAAGACTCACTAACATATTTGAAAGGCAAAGTTGCAGAAACAGATTTCCCATCCATTGATTCATTCATCAGATGACAGCAATGGCCAGGGCTGGGCCAGGCTGAAGCTGGAAGCCACGAGCTTTATTCTGGTCCTCCGTGTGGGTGCAGATGTCCGACACTTGGGCCATCCCCTGCTGCCTTCCCAGGTGCGTTAGCAGGGAGCAGCTTTCCACACTACACCACAACCCCTTCCTCCTAGTGTCTGACCCGCTGCACTCCTCGTCTTAGGTTTTGTCTTCTTCACCTCTAGGAGTTCAGTTTGAATCTTGAGAAAAGTATCTCTCACATCTGCACTTCATACATTCAATTGTTCTGTCTTTAAACTATGAAACTGAGCTTAAAAGAATCATTAGAACATTCTTATTTACCAGCCCTAAACATACATGTCAGTACTAGGGCTGGTTTTGGCTGACGGACTTTTTTTTTCTTATTACTGATTTCAACTTCTTGCTTCTTTGCTTACTTGATTATTGTCCAACCACCCACACACATTTTTTATTTGAGACATCAACACACACACACACACACACACACACACACACACACACACACACGGAATGAGAGGAGAGAGAGTGCATATGTTCCAGTTGCTTGCTCACTTCTCTGCATTGGCCACGGCTGGGCCACAGCCAGGAGCCAGGATCACAACGCAGGTCCCCCACATGCCTGGCAGACTCAGTCACTTGCACCGTCCCTTGCTGCCTTCCGGGATGTGTGTTGGAAGGTAGCTGGAACTGAGAGGTAGAGCTGGGAATCTAACCCAGGTCATCTGATGTGTGATGCACTCATCCTAACCTCTGGGTCAAATGCCCATGCCCACTTGGCAAGGTCTGATTGGGATCTGGACTTTGTAGATTTACCCCGTTGAGTGCCATGCTTGGCCTTTGTTCCATAATGCAGTTAGGTGACTTGGGATACTTCGATGTCATAAAGAACAGAAAAAAAAAAACAAAAAGGGATTCTTTGATATCTTTATATTTTTCTGTTAAGAGTTGTCAGTCTGCACGCAGTACCACAACAGACATGGAGGACACAACAAATCACTCATCTGCCCCAACCGTGTGTGGCAGTGAAAATCTGGGCAAACGGAGACTCTGACGTAGGCTATGTCAGTCAGTGGATTCTGGAGAGATTTCATCGTGTTTGGAAAGGTGAGACTAACAGCAATTCAGAACTGTTGAGCTCTCAAAGCCTCCTGAGCAGTGCCCTTGGAGCATGCCCCATGTCGGGAACCCTGGGATGGGTGGGAGGCTGCATGGGGTTTCTCCATTTGTCTGCCTGCTTGCCCCAGATACAGAAAAACAGAAAGAAAGAGAGAATGTGGAAACAATGGTCTTACCCACTTTCCTGTAGCCTTGACCCTTTGTGTCCTAATTAACTATGTAAAGATTATTTAAAAAAAAAAAAAAAGAGTCCTCAGTCTGGGGCTAGCACGGTGGTATAGTGCATACAGCCACTGCCTGATATCCTATTGAGGCATGGGTTCAAGTCCTGGCTGCTCTTCTTCCAATCCAGCTGTCTGCTAATGACCTGGGAAAGCAGTGAAAGACGGCTCAAGTGCTTGGGCTCCTGCACCCACGCAGGAGATCCGGATGAGGCTCCTGCCTCCTGGCTCCCGCCTGGCCCAGTTCCAACTGTCGTGGCCATCTGGGGTGTGGCTAAGTGGATGAAAGGTCTCTCTCTCCCTCTTTCCCTCCTTCTCTCTCTGTTAACTCTGACTTTCAAATCAATCAATCAATAATAATAATATTATTATTATTATAAAAAGGCAGTCTGTTGTAAATCAAAACGCTGAGTCATCAACCTTTCAAGGAAAATGAATTTATTATGAAACAGGGCGGCAACTATCTTGCAGGATAGCATGCTGAGGGGAAGGAAAATAGAGTTTTTATAGCTACAGGGAATATACAAAAACTCATGCTACGTGCACAGCAGCAGGGTGGTCACTGGTAGCAATCTGTTAATTTAAAAAGCAATAACATCTCAGCAGACAAAGCAGAAGTTACCGAGGTCAGCATGCCCTCAAACAGACAATAACATTCAACAGACCAGAGGCTCTCGGCTTTCCAAGAGCCTCGCCCAAACTGGCACTTTCACAGAGTTCATGGTTGGTCCTGTCACCATTGTCTGGCTTAGCTGATCCATGGCAACAATGCCGCTTGGGCTGCCTGCATCCTGTGTTACAGGGCCTGTGTCTGAGCCTCAGCTCTGCTCCCAGTTCCTGCTGCCTGTGGGTACACGTCCTGCCAGGCGGTGATGATGGCACAAGTCGCAGGATCCCTGCCTCCCCTGGAGACTTGGCTGTTGGCTGTGGCTTGGCTTAGTCTGGACCATTGCAGGCATTTGGGATGAATGAATGGATGGGAGCTGCCTGTCTCTCTCTGTGCTCCTGTCTCCCTGAGGTCACTAGTTGCGGCTGCTGGGAAGGCTCCTCTTAGCTCTTCCCTCCTGGGACACTGTGTCACTGTCAAGTCTTCTCTTTTGCATGGACCCCAAACAATGACAAGTACATGGGGCTCCTGGGGAATGTTTTTGTACTGCCCAGCTGTTTTCATATTTTGACTTAATTTTTCTTTTCTGTTATTACTATTATGCTATTAATAAACTATACCAGATAATTCTGTTGTTTTTCTTCCAAATTTGTCACAGTTTTTTTTAGTACTGTTGCCCAGTTTCGATGAGGTCACTTCCCGCTTTTCTGCTTTGCTGTGTGGCCAGTTGATCCCGTTGGCACCGTGGCCGTGTCTGATTCTGCAGGCTGAGTCAGCTACTCTGATGCTGAAAAGTGGATTTACTGAAACAGATTCAAGACCCGTCATAGTTTTAGCCAGTTTGGGTATTTCCTCTTTGTTTTGGTCATTTTCATTTCGTAGAGGGTCCAGATGGTATTCATCCTAATGGTAACCGCCTTTTCTCTCTGAAGAGCTACCAAAAAATTCCACAGGACAGGAGTGGCAAGGGCTCAGCTGTGTGGCTTGTCACCTGTTACTTGCAGGGTCTGCTTTGGCAGGAGGCTGGGGTCAAGAGTGGATGTGCAACAAATGCCTCGACTGCTATGCCGGATGGCCACCCACTGCCACGTCTAGGCAGTAACTGCATGTGAAGTGTGAACACCCAGGGGCTTGCGTGGCACACAGCGTGATGTATATGAACCCCGGTTCAAGGCCTGACTGCCTCACTTCTGGAAGACAATGGGAAGATGGTTTACATGCTTAGACCCTTACCAAATAAATAAATCACTAAAAAAGGTGGGGGAGAACCTGGTGAGGTAGCCTAGTGGCTAAAGTCCTTGCCTTGCATGCACTGGGATCCTATCTGGGCATCGGTTCTAATCCAAGCTGTTCTATTTCCCATCCAGCTCCCTGGCTGTGGCCTGGGAAAGCAGTCAAGGACGGCCCAAAGCCTTGGGACCCTGCACTTAAGTGGGACACCCAGAAGAAGCTCTTGGCTCCTGGCTTTGGATCAGCTCAGTTCTGACCATTGTGGCCACTTGGAGCGTGAATCAGCAGATGGAAGATCTTTCTTTCTGTCTCTCTCTCTCTCTGTAAATCTGACTTTCCAATAAATCAATCTTTAAAGAAAAAAGAGTGAAGATCAAGTTTTAACAAATGAAGAACCAATTGGAATAGCAAAAAAAAAAAAAAAAAAAAAAGTTGCACACATTGGAAACAAAGGTGTGGGAATGTTGAAAGCCAGATGCTGCTGAGCGGGGCATCCTGAGGTGGGAGGCTAAGGCCCAGAGCCCAGGAGCTGAGCATCCTGGGAGAAGCCAGAACCACAGCCCACTGCTGCAGGATTAGAGATTCAAAGAGGTGAGGGGGTTCATCTGCTGAGTCAGCCAGTCCCCAAGGAACACGTGGCAGTGACTGCGGTGGGAGTGGCAGGCCCTGAGTGAGGCCCAAGTCCCTGCCTTAGCCTTGCCTTAGGGCTCAACACACAGACCAACGTTGGTCGAGCTCCTCAGCTGTGAGTTTTCAGTTTCCTGGCTGCTAACCGAGATGGTGCTGGACGACAAGGGTCTAAAATCGCTCTGGAGGGTGGCTGCCAGCGCCTGGAAGAGACAGAAAACACCCAGTGCATAGTGGGATTATCCCAGGTACAACCACAGGGAGTCCTTGTGGGATCAAATGTAAAACTTGTTCTAAAAAATAAAATAAAACAGGAAAGACAAAATTCACAGGAACATCTGTTCACCGTATTTACCATTGCCATGTGGCTCACCCCACCCCTGAGGGTCTTTACTGGACTTCCTCTGTACCCTGCTTTGAGAAGCCTCCCAGGAATTCCCTCCTCCTCCTCCTTCTTCTTCTTTTTTGCACAGGGAACCACTTTTTCTGAAAAACCAAGAAGTGAAATGACAACAAGAACAGGAAGTGAAGGAGGAAAGCAAAAGGAGAAGCAAGGATGGGGACCAGCTGGCTCCGGAGTGCGGGGCGGAGGCCCGTGTGCCCGTCCCTCGGTCGATGTGCTCAGAGACCATGCAGCTGGGCAGTGCCTTCCTCCTCCTCTGCCTCCCAGGTGAGTGCGGCTTGGGAGGTCTTGTCTGCTGAGCTCGGGGACGGAGAGGCTGGAGAGGATATGCAGAGGCTGCAGAAATTTCGAAAATGCCCCGTCTGCCTCTCCCATATCCTCCTCCTCAACGGACAGAGGCAAAAAGTTATCCTTGGGAGATCCGGCCCCATCTCAGCCTTTTCTCCACCGAGAGCATAAAGCCTATGGGACTTCTGTGTGTGGAATGGGATACTGGGCTGGCCAGGGTGAGGAGGACCTGAGTGATACTGGGCGGGCCAGGGTGAGGAGGACCTGAGTGATACTGGGCGGGCCAGGGTGAGGGGACCTGAGTGATACTGGGCGGGCCAGGGTGAGGGGACCTGAGGGATGGGCGGGCCAGGACAAGGTGGGGCCTGAGTGAAGGTGATGTGCATACTTCAGCCCCTGCCCAGGAGGCCTTAGTCCCTTCCCATCTCCTCATTTCCTCTCTATATCCACCTGATAGCCCTGGACCGAGGGAAACCTGCTCCCCAGCCTGCTGAAGACTGGAGGACAACTGTGGGGTTCATAGAATTTGGGGTCTGCAGCTTCATCCTTCTCTCTCTAAGGAATTCTTGCCTATTACTCCTAGATAGCCCTGTTAACTCCATCTTCCAGCTCCAAGCGCCACCGACCCTAACGCATGTTGCCCTAGGGCAGTTAGAGGGTGTATGCATGGGTAAGTGAGGGTGACACCCCAGAAGAGCTGAGGAGGGCAGTGCAGGTCCCTCCTGAACCCCAAATTGTGTCTGTTCATATCACCAAGGAGCTGGGCCTTGCGCAGATGTCTCTCATCCCCAGCTAAACAGTGAGAGATGGCAAAGAAGTGAAAAGCAGGCGGGAAGGCGGGCCACCCAGAGCTCCCCACGACTGATCCGGGAGAGAGGGGTGTGCAGGAGGGTCTGTGAAGGCATGAGGGCGAGGACATTTCAGCAGGCAGTGGGATGGAATTTAAAAAATGAGAAGTTCGTTTTAATGCCTCCCCTCAAAAAATATTCCCAGGCATGTAAATGGTCTTCGCAATTCCATGAAAAATGCGAATTGTGGAAAAACTAGGCATGGATTTCAGGGTGTGTTTTTTTTTTTTAACCATAATCTTCTGTTTATTTTCCTGTGGATTTGTGAGGCACTCTCGTGTCTGTATGTGTGTGTGTGTCTATGTGTGTATGTGTGTATATATGCCTTGTACGCATCGGGATCTCCTATGGGTGCCCATTTGTGTCCTGGCTGCTCCATCTCCCATCCAGCTCCCTGCTTACATTCCAGGAAAGCAGTAGAGAATGGCCCAAGACCTTGGGATCTTACACCCACATGGGAGACCTGGAAGAAGTTCCTGGCTCCTGGCTTTGGATTGGCTCAACTCCAGCTTTACAGCCACTTGGGAAGTGAACCAGCAAGAGGATCCTTCTCTCTGTATCTCCTTTTCTCAGTAAATCTGATCTACCTTTCCAATAAAAATAAAATAAAGCTTTTAGAAAAAAAGAGAAAGAAAGAAGGAAAAAACCCTCTCTCTGCTCACTGGTTCACTCCCCAAATGGTCAGGATGGCTAGAGCTGAGCCAGAAGCTTCTTTCAGGTCCCTCTTGGGCGCAGGGTTCCAAGCACTTGGGGCTGTCTTTCCCAGGCCACAAGCAGGAGGACAGATAGATAGTAGAGCAGCCAGGATACAAATTGGTGCCCATGTGGAATCCTGGCACTTGGGGGGGGGGGGAAGATCAACCAATTGAGCCATCATGCTGGGCCCAGAAAGAATAGTTTTTCTGGGTCTACCTGGAAGTAGCTGGAGATTTCTCCTGCTCCCAGAACCAGCAGGCAAGTCAGCCATTGACGCAGGCCTGGGTTTGTGCAGGGAGGGAGTGCTTCCGGTGTGGGGTAGCCAGGAACATGTGAGCCAAGGTCACTGCTCCCCGTTCCCCTGTCAGTGGCACAGGCGTTGGATCCCGTGCCACCCTGGCTAAGTCTGTGTCTCTTGCGTTTTTCAGGCTGTCTCACCCTGGGCACCCCCAAGGTTTTAGAGGGCACGGTGGGGAGCACGCTGATGATAACATGCAGGTACAAGGTAGGAGAGGAAGGCCCCAGGAAGTTCTGGTGCCGAGGGGCCAACTGGATGGACTGTGTCCGGGTCATTGAGACAGCGCAGCCAGCGAAGGAGGAGGCGAGGCGTGGCCGAGTGACCCTCCAGGACAGGCCGTGGGGGCACCATTTCATCGTCAGCATGACGAGCCTGGAGACGGGAGACGCAGACACTTACTGGTGTGGAGTGGACTCACCCAAGCATGTCCCCCAGGCCCCAGTGATGGTGGCTGTTCTCCCAGGTAATCTCTCCTCTCCTCCCTTTGCCTGGAACGGGAACAGGTTCCCAGCCCCCTTGCTGAGGGCGGATCCAGCTTTTTCTCCTGGACTGGCTGCCATGAATAGGGCAAGGAGCACACCTGGGTGTGCATAGAGGTGTAACCTGCGGGAAAGTGAAGGCGGGGGGATCTGTGACATCTCCAGTCTTGACCCTGCTTGTGTGAGCTAGCAGAGGGGACAGCTGTTGCATTCCTCAAGATGGGGGTGAGGAGGAGAGGAAGGCTCTGGGGTCCTGGAGCTCAGGGTTGCTCACTTCTGGGTAGGAGCTGAGCGGCGTAACACAGGAGGTACATGGGATCCAAGGTGGGGACCAGATGGCCTGTCCAGGGACTGCTCCAGGTCCAGACCCAGAGGAGGGCCCTCTGTGAATGGATAGTTGGTGTTGAAAAGGTGTAATTCATCCTGGCTTCCCTGGGGTGCCCCAGTCCTCGCCTCCCGACCCTTCATAGCCCTGGCTTAGCATATAAACCACACCTGTTACTTTCTCACTTTGGCCCACTGGGACATGGACTGGTTCATACCAGCAGTTTTTGTTTTTCCATACTTGATCTCGTGTAGAGGGTTGAGGGGCGGGGGGATGCTGGGCCTGCCCCTGGGGAGTTCCTGGGGCTCCCACCATCCCTGCAGGGCCAGAATGTGCCAGAACCTCTTGGGGGCTTTTCTGGAGGGCTAGCATTTTCTTCTCCCAGCAGCTCCTGCTAAGGGACACTGCTGCCCACCTGATAACTTGGGAACTGCTGAGAGCAGCAGTGCCATGACCCCTGCTCACTGGCCTGTGCACTGTCCAGGGACCCATCTCTATCTGCCCCCACTTCCCTCCTGGGGTCCCTTGGGAAGTACGGTGGTGGCTTTGTGAGAACTGCAGATTCTGAGCAGGGTGGAGACTAACCTGTTCCCTGACCCACAGGCCCCACAACAACAGCAACGAGGACCCTGGAAACCATGGGCTCCAGTATGCCCGCCAGTCCCATGTCCAACCCTGGACATCCCACTTGGTAAGATAAACGGAGTTCTTACCACAGTTCCTAATGCATCCTGGAAGTCCACAGGAGTCAATCCTGAGGCCGGGGTCAATCCTGACTCTAGTGTGATGCCCTACTGCTGACTCCAGGTCCTCCCCAGAGCCCTGGGCCCCCCATCCCATCCTCCTTCTCAGCCCTCTGCTCTACTTCCCTCTCAGCTAAGCGTGAGGGGCTCCTGCCCACCATTTGGACTCCTGTCCCAGTTTCCGTGTTTTCCTGGCAGCCTGGGGACCTGGGCAAGCAACCTAAGGCTCAGTTTCCTCACTGACAGGATGAGCGTTGGTCCCATTGTCACAGTTGCCTTATGTCAAAGCTGAGTGGCACATGGCACTCAGGGATCACGTGCGTGGATTCTGCAGTCAGGATTTGGACTGGGCCATAGCAGTGACAACTTGTTTGCACTGCAGGATGACTGGGGCCTTAGCTGGATGTCCCCAGAGCTCTTCATGACACTGTCTGGAGCTCACTCACCTGGCATTGGTGAGGCTGTTGGCTGGAAGGCATGTGGGTGCTTGCAACTTGGCGGCTGGGATCATGGGTGACAGGGAGAGCCAGGTGGAGAGTCTTATTTGTAGGTCTTCCACTGTGTTCTCTCTGCGTAGCTGCAAAGTTGCCAGGTCCAGAGGGAGAGGGACCAGACTTTGCCTCCGGGAACACAGACTGGACAGACCAGATCCATTGCTGGAGGCATTTTCAGAAAGCACAGCCAGTTATAAGTGTGACAACAGCGCCACCTTGCTGCGTTACCATGGGGAACACCCAAGCAAGGCGGTCATCCCTGCTCACCCCGTGGAGACAGCTCATCCTTGTCCCTAGCTGTTGGCCTTTCTCTCTCTGTTCTCCCTTCGAGGGCCACTTAGCAGAGCCATCACAAGGAGCCACCACCAGCTTTCTGCACTCCGGTCCCAAGCTTGGGGCTCAGAGGCAGAGGGTGGTGCATCAGGGACTCCTGGCTGGCCAGTGGCCACTGCCTCTCTCTGACTTTGTTTTCCCTCTCAGGCTGCTCTGGATGTACATCAGCTGCATGTTCCTGGTCTCGCTCAAGGTGACCTTCCTGCTGAGCCTTGGCTGCATCATCACCTGGCTGGCCTGGACTTCAGCCTTTCCCTGAGAAACAATGACTCCCAGCCCCGGGCTGCTCCCAGCGAAGTGACGCTGGCTGTGTCAGCTCTGAGGATCCTGCAGGGACCCACACGCTCAGAAGCTGAGTGGATCTTCAGGATGACTCAGGGCTGTGGAGTCAGATGGCATGCACTCCAACCCCAGGACTGCCACCTGCCAGCCATTGGACCCGGGAGGGGTTACTGGATGGTGCTCCTCAGGTGTTGCTTGGATTTGTATTTAATTGATGCACTACATGGAGGGTTCTGGTCTCTCAGGATGACTCCAATATGTGGCTGTTAGTTGGGGTGCAGGGAAGCAGGGAGCAGGACCAGGCAGGTTGGGATGGGGTTTGGGGAGCAGTGGGGCCGTGCTTCCTAGAAATTCTGATCATCTTAGGAGAGGACGTGGGAAGGCGGTGCCTGTTTCCCAAGCCTTGTTGAGATCACACAGTGCCCAGCAGGTGGCAAGGATGGTGAGAGCACATGGGGAGGGGCAGAATGGAGAACCCCAGCCCCGCCAGGTGAAGGCCTGGTGCAGGCCTCCTGGCAGGCAGCTGCAGGAAGAGCCGGGCTCTCCTTGCTGAGGAGGCACGAAGGGGCCATGATCCATCTTGGCCTGAACCCCACTCTCCAGTTCTCTCTTTGTCCTGCTCTGGGCTCCACACTCAGCCTTTGCTGGGGCTGGGGGAGGGTAGGAGAGGAGGTGGGGAGGGTGCTTTCTCTTTTCTTGCTCAGTCCTCAAGATTTAGGTACAGACAACACCACTCATCCACTTTTCTTTTCTTTCAAAGATTTAGTTTTATTTGTTTGAAAGGGAGAGAGAGAGAAAGAGCAAGTGCTGGACCAAGCTGAAGCCAGGAGCTTCATCTGGGTCTCCCACGTGGGTGCAGGGCCCCAGGCATTTGAACCATGTCTTCTGCTGCTTTTCCAGGCATATTAGCAGGGAGCTGGATTTAAAGTGGAGCAACTGAGACTTGACTCAGTACCCATATGAGATGCTGGCACCACAGGCAGAGGTTTGACCTACATGCCACAATGCCAACCCAACTCTTCTTGACTGTCCACCCACCCTGGGCTGGTGTGACCTCTGGAGGAATCACTCCTGATTTGCCTAGCTCCATCCAAGCTGCTACTAGAAATGTGGACCAGGTGGGCCCTGTGAGATAGCCTACCAGCTAAATCCTCACTTTGCATGCTCCAGGATTCCATATGGACACCGGTTCATGTCCCGGCTATTCCACTTCCCATCCAGCTCCCTGATTGTGGCCTGGGAAAGCAGTCAGGGACATGGTAGAAGGGACAGTCTGCAGGGGCGTACATGGTGGTGCTGGGTGATGGGGCAAGGACACAAGTCTGGCTCCCGCCGCCGTTGAATTCCCAAACGCTGTCTCCTCTGCGACCTTCGCAGCGCACTTCAGTAAGACCGTCCTGGCCGTCTGTATTTGGCTGTACAACCATCTGACTTCCCCAAGCAACGAGCAAGCACAGCCTCCTCAGGAACGGACACACTGCGTGTCTGTGAGACCAGCCGGGCCTTCCTGCATTCCCTTCAGCCTGCCTCGCGGGCAAAACTTTATCAAGGTTGAAAATGCTCACAAAAAGTATTCTAACCTCTAACCTCCCCACTTACCTGAATTCCCTCATCCCTCAGAACAGGCCCGAATCTTAAAAGTCAGTCTATCTATCTATCATCTGTCTATCATCTGTCCATCTATCTATGTGTAACCGGGCCTCTGCAATGTGCTTCTGTCCACACGTTGGTAGCTGGTGGCCTCTTTTAATTGAACTCAAATAGATTCAATTTGGCTGTGAGTCTGCTCCCCATCTTGTTTTTGTTCTGTGACACTTTCCGAACAGTGGGGAGTGAGGGCGTGGGAGGAATGGAGCCTCGTGGTCCCCTCTGAGAACAGCCACCAGTCAGCTGTCACCACGTGACCCAGTGGCACCCTGCGCTACAGCGTTTCCACTGCTTCAAAAGAGAATGCAGAAGGGGAATTTTTTTGTATTAACATGTAAGCCATAAACCCTGTTTAAAAACAGTACCATGAGCCAAACACACCTGTTCCAGTCCTGAGTGTTATTATTGGCCACCTCTACCTGAAGACCGGAGATCTGAGCTGGTGGCTCTGCCTGGGGCCATATGGTGTCCCCAGCAGGCAGGGGCTTTGGCCCTCAAAGGTGCACAGATGGACCTGCAGGGACAAGGTATGGGCCAGCGCCCACCCAGAGCTTCAGGGCAGAGCCAGTCCTGCTGTCTGCCTTGTGATTGGGTCCACAGATGGCGTCCCCCTTGTGCACCTTGCTGTTCTTAGAGGAGAAATGGAGACCCCCACTTGAGAGTCTGTCATGCGGCTGATAACCACTACTGAAAATTCCCCTGACTCCCCTTCCATTAAAGGTTGGGGTTCGCATCCCCTTCTCTGCAGCCTGGGTGGGCTATAACTGCTTCTGCCAGGAGAGACCAGAGCAGAGTTAGTCTCCAAGGGGGCATGCTGAAGCAGCTCCAGGCTTCCCACTCTGGGCTCTCCACACTTCAGTGTCCCCACATCATGCCATCCCTACCCCAAATCCCCTCTGAGAGTCAAGAGTGAGTGTTCCCTGGATACCCATACATCTGTCCTGGACTTTCTTCCACTTCTACTGCTTCAACAAGCTTTGGACAAGCTGGCTGGGTAGACCTCATGGCAAGAGGCTGGACAGCTGGGGCACAAGATGCTCCATCACCACTTTGGTCTCAACTCCAGTGGTGAGCCACTGGGTCCATGGTGGCCCTGCCCTGGGCTTGGGCAAGGAGACCCGCAGGAGGGTCTCCTTGGGTCTAGGTACACTCAGAAATACCAGTGGGGATGTCTTAGTGGAGTGCTCAGGCCGCCATGATCTGGAGTACTGTCAAGAAATGGGAACTTCCACTCGCTTACTGATTCGTGCACAGTGAGACATTCGTTCAGACACATTCTGTCGTTTCTTGTTCCCCAAATGGAAGAGGACCCTAATGGGTCTCGTGCAAAGCCATAGACACTAGAGTTCCCACCCTCAGACAGACCAGGAAAGCAGGGGAGGATGGAGGCAGAGTGAGGGTGGCAGTGCCTGGAGGGAGTTGGGGCAACTTCTCCTGCAGCCAGGCTGGAGTGAGCTGTGTGTGCCTTTCTTCAGGGTAGAGCCCACGGTCCATGGCTGGAGCTCTTCCACCTGCTCATGGGGTCCCCTGTTAGCTGTGGCAGAGCCCTGCCCCTCAGTCCTCCCTCCTGCTCTGAGGTGCACATCCGAGTGTGAACCTACCCTGGTCAGGATCTTCTCTCTTGGTTATAAATACAGAAGATTTCACCCAATATGCAACTCACGCCCTGACCATCTACTCCAAAGGCAACACCCTTCTGTCCTAATATGTCAAACTGAGAAGTGGCTGCTCACAGAGCAGGAAGTGCATGGCAGAGGCCCCAAGGAGAGATCAGGCCCAGGCATTCACCCAGAGCTTGTCTCCTGGAAGGATCGGGTGCTGGTCACCGAGGACGGGGGTCAGGACCATGTGGCTGCCTCCCACTCTGCTCCTGCTCTTCCTCCCAGGTGAGTGCTCCCCTCACACCTGGAGGAACTAGGGTACCAGGGCTCGGGGTGGAAGTCAGAGTCTGTGTTTGGGACGTTAATTGTGGGACCTCAAATAACTATGCGAGTCACCCATTGCCTGATCAAACACTCTGGCACAGGAGACACAATGTTTGCTGACAGGAAGTGCCACCTGCACAAAGTGTTCCCGGGGAGTTGGGTTCAGGGGGTGGGAGGCCAGCGTGCTCCTGGGGTCTTCACCTTGGAGTCATGAAAGGTCAGAGGAGTCTCTGCTTCTCGTGGTTCTGCAGGAAGATGTCTGAGGTCAAGCTGCCCAGGATTCAGGGTCCAGAGGGATCCACCTTTGCACCATGGCCTCACGTGACCTCTTTGCTGGGAGTCGGGAGGTTGGGAGATGGATAGAGGGGGTTACAGCGTGTCTCTCATAAGACAATCCCTGTCCCTACCCTACGAGTCCCATCCTCATGACATCATGTCAACCATGTCCAACAATATCATGCTGGGTGGGGATCCAATTCTGGTTTTGGGGTCACAATGACATTGCACATGGAGGCCAAGCTGATGAAGACGTGAACAGGATGGGTACACCTGCTTTCGGTTTAACAAGATCACCTGGCTACTCCGCCTGAGGGCCACTTCTGCATCAGAGAGGAAAATCCAGGCTCAGTATTTCCACTCCCTGCATTCAAGTTTAAGTGTGGAAGCAGTGGTGGCAGACTCAGCAGGTGGAGAAGAAGGCATCTTCCTCAGGCAGCACAAGACGGGCAGGCAAGCCCCTCCATGCCCCCGACACGGGGAGATGGACAGAGGGGGTCTGCGGGGATTTCCCTCAAACCTGCAGCAGCTTCTGATAGGCCCCCATCGAAACCTGCAGCTGAGATCACGGTCAAGTCCCCGGAAAATGTGGATGCACGCTGGTATCTGCTTGGGATGCTGACCTTTTGTGTCCTGCTTGGACATTTTGTCCAGAATGCCACCCTCTGCTTGGCCCCTTCTTTTGGGGAAGTTACTCTGATTTACTGGGCTGGTCCTCTTCCTTCTCTCAGAATCAAAAAAAACATCTGCAGTCTCTTCCAAAGACCACGGGCAGAATCACCCCTGACTGAGGCTCATGGCTTAAACACGGTGCCTGCATGTCCCCGACAAGGTTAGACCCGTCTGCTTCCAGGGGTGTCGGCGTGTCAGGTGGATCCACCTGCAGTCAGGTTAGATGGCTTTCTTCTTTAGTTAATGAGGACAAGGACCAAGAAGTGAGGAAGAGGAGGCCAGGCAGCCAGAGGAGACACCGCCAGAGCCTGACCCCACTGAGCACAGCCCACGTGTTGCCCCAGGAAGTGGATGGGATGCTGACCGTCAGAGACAGAGCATTCCCCTGTGCTGTGGTCCCCCAGAACCTCAATGCAAGAGCTGCCCTTGGCCAAGCACATGAGCTCTAACTCCGTGTAAGGGGCAAGGGGGCCAGGTGGCACAGCTGTGGTTTAGAGGGTACTGGGTGCCACCATGTACCAGAGGACAGCATCAAGGGGAAGGTGGCATGGGGCCCATGGCAGGGAATTTGGACACCACCCCAAGGGATCCCAGTCAGGTGTGTAAGGCCGTCAGCAGTGAAGGTGAAGGGAGTCTGGGTGTCCCCTGACCAGAGTTTAAATCCAGCAACAAGACTGGCAGCAGTGTGCATTACACTAGTGTGTAACTGGCTCAGGACAGGCAGTGAGAGAGTGAAGCAGCAGAGGGCACTGTGCCAGGCAGGAAAGGAGAATCTACAATAGTGGCTGTGATCCGAGGACAACCTCAGTCTAAAGCCACAGCTCCACCACCATGGTAAAAACGGCTCCACACGGCACTCTCAGCCCTGCCTGGACATCAGATGTGGGCATAAGCCACATGGCTGTGCTGGGGAAGGGTGTCCACAGCCCACCAGGGCGGGCTGGTCCTCTTAGCACACATGCTCAGGAAAGTGGTGCTGCTTTGCAAAGTGGGGTATGGACAATCACACTGGACTTCCTGGGCAGCAGAGGGTTGAGGGGTTCAGGAGCACCTAGTCAGCTCTGCTGTCCTCCTAAACTGTTAGCAGTGTCACCGATGACCTCAGCGAGTGCAAGGACAAGGAGCCCACATCCGGGCCTCACCAAATGACCCAGTGTGGGAATGGGTGGGAATGTCTCAGGGTGAGGAAGTTGGGCTTTGCGTAAAGAAATTTGGTGTGCTTAGGGCTTCTCATTAATTTCCCAGCCTCTGCTGGGGACACAGTCTTGGGCCCTGTGCTGGTCGGTGTGCACGGCCGTGGGCACTCTTTCTTGCTCCCTGTGGATGGCTGGTGTGGGCTGACCCTCTGGGGTCTCATTCTGGCTCCCTGTGATGGCTAGTGTGGGTTGACCCACTGAGGTCTCTATCTGGCTCCCTGTGATGGTTAGTGTGGGTTGACCCACTGGGGTCTCTATCTGGCTCCCTGTGATGGTTAGTGTGGGTTGACCCACTGGGGTCTCTATCTGCCTCCCTGTGATGGTTAGTGTGGGCTGACCCACGGGAGTCACCATCTGGTTCATGTGATTGTTAGTGTGGTTTGAATCCTTGCACAAGCAGCTTTCTACTTCCTGGCTGCCCTTCCTTTCTGATTGCTTCCTGCTTCTCACATGTAACTGGCCAGTGTCATGTTTATGTTCATGTTTTCGTTCTGTGTCTCTCATTTCTCATTCCTCTGATCACTTCCTCTTACCTCCCTGGGATTGCCACTTGCCATCTTCTCTAAGACACTGTGCTATCCGCCTGCCTTTCAGACAGTAACTGAGCAAGTCGAAGGTGAAGAAAGCATTTCTGTCTGCTTCTGGAAGCAGAGGTGTCACGCACGTGCTGCCGCACAGTTCCCTCCTCCGAGAGTGCAGTGGCCGTTAGTGTACTAACGAAGCTGAGCAGCAATCTCCCGTCTCACTCCATGATGTGGTCATCTCCTCAAAAAGAATTCCAGACCCAGCAGTGGGCCCTCTCCTCCCCTGACACCAGCCCGTGGCATCCCCTTCCACTGTCTCATCTCTTTGGAGTGCCCTGTTCTGGAAATGTCGCGTGAATGCACTTGACTCCTGCCACATGTGCCCTCTTCCCAGTCTGGGATCCTCCACTCAGCATGACATTTTCAAGGTCTGTTAATGTCACAGCCTGAGCCAGCACCTCATTCATGGTTATGCTGTGCACTATTCCACTGCCAACAGACCACCTGCTGTGTATCTGGCCGTCTGTTGAGCTGCTGCTGCCGATTTTGGAGATTGTCAACAATCTCTCCATCTCATTGCACACCTGTCTGCAGTAGCACAAGTTTTCCATTCTTTTGGTGTGTGCCTAGGAGTAGAATGGCCAGGTGCTGTGGTTTGGATATATTCTGGTTGTAAACTGCCACTCCCTCATCCCGCACCATCCTGCCTTACAGGGTGTTGGAAGCTCGGCCCCCAGGGTGGCAGTGCTGAGGTGGTGGAGCCTTTAAGCACTTTCTGGTGCTCAGGGAGGTGGTGAGGTTGTGGGCAGCACTGTTGAGCTGCATTGATGCCATTCTGAGCCTGCTGAGGTGGCTCCTGTGAGGGCAGCTCCCATCCAGAGAGCAGCCCACTCCTTCCTCGCTCTGGCCACCTGCTCTGCCAGACACCCTGCCCACTGACATACCACCCTGCTGCCTACCAGCAGACACCTCTGCCAGCTGAGGTGCTATCAGAAGGCCTCCCCAGAGCCAGGCATATGCTGGACCCTGACCTTCAATAGCAGAGCTGTCATAAACTCTCCTCGATGGAGCGCCGAGGCTCGTGCACACTGCTAGAGCAACGGGCAGTTCTGAGACTGTGTGACGCACTCACTGTGTATTTGCATTTCTGGGGAAATGGGCAAATATTTTCTGAGAAGTAACTTTGAATACAGCTCTGGCTGTGTCACTTGAGTTCTGTTGGGTAATGCTGCCTTTGTGTTAAAGTGTGTTGCATCTTGATGCATTTTTAACCTGGTCTGTAAGCAGATCCATTTTTGTGATAATTCTATTCTTGATCAAGTTTTTGTTTCCTTCCTCAGTGTTTGTAAAGAGTTGTTTATTTGAAAGAGTGACAGAGAGAGATGGAGGGTCAGAGCGAAATCTTCTCCCCACCTGCTCACTTCCCAAACGGTCAGGCTGAAGCCAGGAGCCTGGTGGCAGTGTCCAAGGCTCAAGGACCAAGGACCATCATTTGCTGCCTTTCCAGGTGCATCAGCAAGGAGCCCGATCAGAAACAGAGCAGCCAGGATCCAAACCTGCATTGCAAGTGCTGGCTTAGCCTACTGTACCACAACAACATATCCTGATATTTATTTTCCATGTATTATTTTTAATGAGTGTTTTATTTGAAAGGCAGAGCGACACAGACTAAAGAAGTGACATAGAAAAATCTTCTGTCTGCTGGGTAACTTGCCAAATGACCACAACTTCCAGAGCTGGGCTAACCCAAAGTGAGAATTGAGGGGTCAAGAACTTCCTTCAGGCATCCCATGTGGATGAGGGGCCCAAGCTCTTGGGCCATCCTCGGCTGCTTTCCCCAGACCTATATTAGCAGGTAACATTGAAGGTGGAGTAGTCAGGACTTGAACCAGCACCCATGTGAAATGCTGGGATTGTAAGCAGCAGCTTAAGGCGATATAGCACAGCACCATCCAACCATATTTTTATAGCTGGTCACATCTGGTTTTTTTGCATTCTTTTTTCTTAACGATCTCCCTTAATGTTATCTTTCCTTCTTGGTGCAAAGAATTGTTCCCAAACTCAAACACTCATCTTTCTTCTCAGGGGTGTGGGTAGCTTTGTTGTTTTTCTGCAGTCCTCATGGAAATCAGACTTGGCTTGTGGCCCAGTGACTGCCTCAGCTGGTAATGTAGACCTGTTGAAATGGAGAGGGTCGGGGCCTCTGGATTGGGAGGGCCCTGAAGCAGCCTCAAGATTTCATCCAAACAGGGTTCATGAAAACAACGATGACGAGTTGGTAGCCAAACGCAGCATATCAAGACACAGAGGTGGACACTTTCATTAACACACTCACAGGAAGGCAGGGACTGCCTAACTTGACAATTTCCAGACTTGTAAGGGTTCCAGGACAGATCAAAACCAAGGCCACCTGTAGAACTCAATCTTTCAACATGAACTTGAGAGTCTCTTGGCAAATAGAAGCCTGCATCTCCCCTCACTGTGGTGGGCCCTGAGCACTGTGAGTGTGCAGTTGTGTTTTTAGGGAATCTCCTGGTGGCTGGGACATAGGGAACCACAGAAGGGCTGGTCTTGGAAAAGTGCACTTCTGCCATTCTGATTGTCCTTCTCCACGGGCATTAGGGACCCAGTCACTGTGTAATGGGTGGAGGTGACAGGCGCATGGATCTGTGTTTTGCAGGCAGCTCTGGTGCCAGGGAAGGTATCACAGGTCCAGGAACAGTGAGAGGCCCAGAGCGGGGCAACCTGTCTGTGTGGTGTCATTATGACGAAGGATGGGAGACATACTATAAGTACTGGTGTCGGGGAGCTGCGTGGAGTCACTGCGAGATCCTCATCATTACCACTGGGTCAGAGCAAGAGGTACGGCAGGGCCGTGTGACCATCAGGGATAATCACAGAAGTCGCACGTTCACTGTGACCATGGAGCAGCTCCGTGAAGATGATGCTGACATTTACTGGTGTGGGATGGAGACATTCTGGGCTGACCCTGGTGTGCAAGTTAAAGTGATCGTTGACCCAGGTAAGGGGCAGGTATGTCATGGGTCTGCTTTGCCCTGGTCCTCAAAGCCCTGCTTGAGTGGTCTGCTAGAGTGGGGCTCTGGCCTGGGGCTATCTGAGCTGCCTTGTCCAAAGCCCTCCCCATGCCTCCTGTCCCGTCAGGGCCTGCTCCTCCTCCTGCTTCTGAGGCCCTAGAGCCTCCTGCAGGCTAGGGAGATGGGTGGGGCCAGGCTAAGCCACTGCGCTCAGCTGCCCTCCACCTTGGGCAGCTCACATTTCCCCAGCTCAGAGCTGGGTGCAGGGTTAGGTGTGGGGTTGCAATGCCAAGAGCAGTAGGTGACCGTGTCCAATGTACCAAGCACCCACTACTGTGCTGACCACGTCACCCACCACCGTCACCTCCACCACGAACACATCTGTAGTGCCAAACACAGTGTCAACGCCTCTTTCAAGCACCTGGAGAGAGACCTACAGCTCCTCGACCATGTCCCGCCACTCGGGGGAAGGCAGGTAAGCCAGCTGGGGACCCCTCCAGTGAGGGTGCCCTCTGCAGTGTCAGCTGGGGACTCCTCCAGTGAGGGTGCCCTCTGCAGTGTCAGGCCCCAGCCAGCATTTGCTCCCAGACTCCGATCCTTTTAGAGGGTGGGGCTGCCTAGGGTTGCCTGCTGCCTCGGGCCTTCATGCTAGAGCTTGGTGAAATGATGGTTTTGCTGGTAGGTTTGTTCATTCATCCCACTATGTTCAGCTCTTCATTTACTTATTTTATTAAAAATTTTTGTAAAGATGATTTTTTTTTTCCTGGAAAGGCAAAGTTATAGAGAGAAGAGAGAGAGAAATCTCTTCCACCCACTGATTCACTCCTCAAGTGCTACAATGACGAGAATAGTCAATCTGAAGCCAGGAGCCAGGAGCTTTTTCTGGCGTTCCCATGTTGGTACAAGGTCCCAAGGCTCTGAGCATCCTCTGCTTGTGCATAAGTAGGGAGCTGAATTGAGAGTGCAGCAGCTAGGACTCCATCTAGTGCCCATATGGGATGTTGGCACTGCACATGAGAGCTTTACTTCATAAGGCATGGTGCCATCTCACTGAGTTAGCTTCTACACAGAGGGTGTATCCTGCACTTTGGGGACATGGCTGTGGAGCGTCCCCTGGAGCTTGGAGCCTAGTGTGGGGGTCTGATGACGGGCAGTGAGTGAGATCTCATGACTAGAGTGGGAGCTCCTGGAGGTGCTGCTGTGGGTCCCCCTGTGTGTCACGTGGCCTCCAGTGTGTCTGTGTGGCTCTCTAATCACTGTTTTCTCTTAATGTCGCCTGCACAGAACCTCCCCCTTTTCTGTAAAATAGGTCATGTTCATAGGCTCTGCATGGATGTGACTTGCGTGTGATGGAGAGATCAAAGGGCTTCACACGTGGCCACCATCTCTTTGGGCTCAGGGCGACATTTCCTCTCTCTTAGAAACCTCTGAGAACAGTTTGGAACGAGGGCTCCGAGACTGCAAACTAGAGGGCCTGGGTTGTTGGGTGTATGGCACTGCCTGCCCATGGGCTGCCTGCCTGTGGGAGACGGCATTCAGAAGTGCTGGTTGGACTTGGGGTACACATGTGGTCTCTGTCTGTGTGTTCTTGCTAGTGGCTGCACTTGGGGGGGCACATGTGGCCTCCATCTTGGCTTCATGCCAGTTGGTGCACTTGGGGTGCACTGGCTCTTCTGTGTTTTCATGCCATTGGGAGTATTTGGGGTTATGGGTCCTGGTTCCTAGGCCCATGCCTAACCTCAGCATCTGCACCACCCCACCCCATTTGGTAGGAGAATAGAGGCCATGTTCCTATGCTGTGGAGAAGGTCCCTCTGCTACTTCCTTCTCTCCTGACCTGGCCCACACAAACAGCAGAACCCAGAGACCTTCTCTGAAACCCGCAGGTGAGAGGGACCCTGGGGATGTGGGGAGGGCAAATTGCTCAGAGTGATGTTTGAGTTGCTGTTGAGAGCTATAACAACGCCTGACAAGATATCCTCCTGGTGGCTGGGGCACAGGGCACTGCAGAAGGGCTGGTCTCAGGGCAGGTGCACTCCTGCCATCCTGTTCTGTCCTACTCCATGGGGAACTCACGTGTGGGAGCCACGCCCACCACCACCTTGCAGGTGGGAGGTGACAGGCGCATGGATCTGTGTTTTGCAGGCAGCTCTAATGCCAGGGAGCCTATCTCAGGTCCAGGAACAGTGAGAGGCCGAGGGCGGGGTAACCTGTCTGTGCGGTGTCATTATGACAAAGGATGGGAGACATACCACAAGTACTGGTGTCGGGGAGCTGCATGGAGTCACTGCGAGATCCTCATCATTGCCCCCGGGTCAGAGCAGAGGATTCGGCAGGGCCGTGTGACCATCAGGGATAATCACAGAAGTCGCACGTTCACTGTGACCATGGAGCAGCTCCGTGAAGATGATGCTGACATTTACTGGTGTGGGATTAAGAGTTCAGGATCTGACCCTGGCGTGCAAGTTAAAGTGATCGTTGACCCAGGTAAGGGGTAGGTATGTCATGGGTCTGCTTTGCCCTGGTCCTCAAAGCCCTGCTTGAGTGGTCAACTGGAGTGGGGCTCTGGCCTGGGGCTATCTGAGCTGCCTTGTCCAAAGCCCTCCCCATGCCTCCTGTCCCGTCAGGGCCTGCTCCTCCTCCTGCTTCTGAGGCCCTAGAGCCTCCTGCAGGCTAGGGACATGGGTGGGGCCAGGCTAAGCTGCTCTCCTCAGCTGCCCGCCACTGCGGGCAGCTCACATTTCCCCAGCTCAGAGCTGGGTGCAGGGTTAGGTGTGGGGTTGCAATGCCAAGAGCAGTAGGTGACCGTGTCCAATGTACCAAGCACCCACTACTGTGCTGACCACGTCACCCACCACCGTCACCTCCACCACAATCATTTCTACAGCACCAGCCATCAGGAGAAAGAACCATGGCTCCTCGACCGTGTCCCGCCACTCGGGGGAAGGCAGGTAAGCCAGCTGGGGACCCCTCCAGTGAGGGTGCCCTCTGCAGTGTCAGCTGGGGCCTCCTCCAGTGAGAGTGCCCTCTGCAGTGTCAGCTGGGGACTCCTCCAGTGAGGGTGCCCTCTGCAGTGTCAGGCCCCAGCCAGCATTTGCTCCCAGACTCTGATCCTTACAGAGGGTGGGGCTGCCTAGGGTTGCCTGCTGCCTCGGGCCTTCATGCTAGAGCTTGGTGAAATGATGGTTTTGCTGGTAGGTTTGTTCATTCATCCCACTATGTTCAGCTCTTCATTTACTTATTTTATTAAAAATTTTTGTAAAGATGATTTTTTTTTCCTGGAAAGGCAAAGTTATAGAGAGAAGAGAGAGAGAAATCTCTTCCACCCACTGATTCACTCCTCAAGTGCTACAATGACGAGAATAGTCAATCTGAAGCCAGGAGCCAGGAGCTTTTTCTGGCGTTCCCATGTTGGTACAAGGTCCCAAGGCTCTGAGCATCCTCTGCTTGTGCATAAGTAGGGAGCTGAATTGAGAGTGCAGCAGCTAGGACTCCATCTAGTGCCCATATGGGATGTTGGCACTGCACATGAGAGCTTTACCTCATAAGGCATGGTGCCATCTCACTGAGTTAGCTTCTACACAGAGGGTGTATCCTGCACTTTGGGGACATGGCTGTGGAGCGGCCCCTGGAGCTTGGAGCCTAGTGTGGGGGTCTGATGACGGGCAGTGAGTGAGATCTCATGACTAGAGTGGGAGCTCCTGGAGGTGCTGCTGTGGGTCCCCCTGTGTGTCACGTGGCCTCCAGCGTGTCTGTGTGGCTCTCTAATCACTGTTTTCTCTTAATGTCGCCTGCACAGAACCTCCCCCTTTTCTGTAAAATAGGTCATGTTCATAGGCTCTGCATGGATGTGACTTGCGTGTGATGGAGAGATCAAAGGGCTTCACACGTGGCCACCATCTCTTTGGGCTCAGGGCGACATTTCCTCTCTCTTAGAAACCTCTGAGAACAGTTTGGAACGAGGGCTCCGAGACTGCAAACTAGAGGGCCTGGGTTGTTGGGTGTATGGCACTGCCTGCCCATGGGCTGCCTGCCTGTGGGAGACGGCATTCAGAAGTGCTGGTTGGACTTGGGGTACACATGTGGTCTCTGTCTGTGTGTTCTTGCTAGTGGCTGCACTTGGGGGGCACATGTGGCCTCCATCTTGGCTTCATGCCAGTTGGTGCACTTGGGGTGCACTGGCTCTTCTGTGTTTTCATGCCATTGGGAGTACTTGGGGTTATGGGTCCTGGTTCCTAGGCCCATGCCTAACCTCAGCATCTGCACCACCCCACCCCATTTGGTAGGAGAATAGAGGCCACGTTCCTATGCTGTGGAGAAGGTCCCTCTGCTACTTCCTTCTCTCCTGACCTGGCCCACACAAACAGCAGAACCCAGAGACCTTCTCTGAAACCCGCAGGTGAGAGGGACCTGGGGATGTGGGGAGGGCAAATTGCTCAGAGTGATGTTTGAGTTGCTGTTGAGAGCTATAACAACGCCTGACAAGATATCCTCCTGGTGGCTGGGGCACAGGGCACTGCAGAAGGGCTGGTCTCAGGGCAGGTGCACTCCTGCCATCCTGTTCTGTCCTACTCCATGGGGAACTCACGTGTGGGAGCCACGCCCACCACCACCTTGCAGGTGGGAGGTGACAGGCGCATGGATCTGTGTTTTGCAGGCAGCTCTAATGCCAGGGAGCCTACCTCAGGTCCAGAAACAGTGAGAGGCCCAGAGCGGGGCAACCTGTCTGTGCAGTGTCATTATGGCCGAGGATGGGAGACATACAAGAAGTACTGGTGTCGGGGAGCTGCATGGAGTCACTGCAAGATTCTCATCATTACCACTGGGTCAGAGCAAGAGGTACGGCAGGGCCGTGTATCCATCAGGGATCATCACAGAAGTCGCATGTTCACCGTGACCATGGAGCAGCTCCGTAAAGATGACGCTGGCACTTACTGGTGTGGGATGGAGAGAGTGGGAGCTGACCCTGGCGTGCAAGTTAAAGTGATTGTTGATTCAGGTAAGAACACTTCTCAGGTGCCACATGACCACCAAGCTGATGGTGGAGGTTTCCGACACCATCTTCTCTTCCTTTGTCCCGAGTCTATGTTCACAGGCGGGAATGTGAGTATGTGTGCCGAGACCCAGGGACTGAGAGTGGCTATGCTTTTGGATCAGTAGAGCACCAGGGATACATTTGTCCTCTTGCCCTCATGCTAGGAAATACAAGATTGGAAATTGAGATGCTGAGTGTTTGTGGGACTTGAATGGCAAATGGTTGATCCACAGGAGGGCAGAAAGCTGGGCATCCAGCTTGCCCTTGGGTGGAGACTCTGAGAGAGGGTTCAGGGGGATCCTGGTAGGCTCTTGGATTGGGGGGACATGAGCTGGAATCTGGGGATATGGAGATGGTCACAGGACTTGGTATCAGCATGAGTTGCAAAGAGGGGCACTCCACAGACTCCAGAGGGGGCCCCTAGCCTTGTGCAAGAGTATCCTGGTCAGTTCATGCAGCTGAGAGAACCCCTGGGCCTGTGCAAGTGCCACCCGACCCCTTTATTGGAGCAGGGCCCAGTTCTCCCCAGGAGCAGCACTACACCTGTTCCCATGAGCCAAACTGATGAGACTCGTGCTCCCTGGGGCACAGCATGGAGCAGTCACACACACGGTGCTGCAACTTGTGGAAAGCAAGCCTTGAGGGCTCACACTGTTTCCAAACAGTTTATAAAAGTCTGTGTGTGTATGTAACTGTGTGTATGTGTGTGTGTGAGAGAGAGTGAAAGACAGACAGAGAGAGAGAGAGAGAGAGAGATTTCAAGGACTTTCCTTATAGATAATCAAGTCATCTGCTAGTAAAGTCTTTCTGCCTTTCTTTCCTTCTGCCTTTCTTTCTTTCTCTCTCTCTCTTTCTTTCTTTCTAAAAGCTTATTCATTAGAAAGACAGAGTTACAGAGAGAGAAACATAGATCACCCATCCACTGGTTCACCACCCAGATGATCACATCTGGGGGCAGGCAGGGCCAAGGCTGGGCAGACAGAAGTCGGAGTCAGGAACTCCATCTGGTCTCCCATGTGGCAGGCAGGGACCAAGCATTCAGATCCTCTGCTGCCTTCCCAGGTGCACTAGCAGGGAGCTATATGGGAAATGGAACAGCTGGGACTTGAACCTATGCTCATATGGATGCCAGCATTGCAGGCAGTGGCTTAATCCACTATGCCACATTGCCAGTCCTGAGAGTTTACTTCTTCATCTGGTGCTGGTTGCAATTCCAACATGAAACTGAGCAGGGAGTTGAGGGGTTCCCTGGCTTGCAGTGTGATTGTACCAGGAAAGGAAGTTGTGATGTCTTACCTTCAGAACATTCCAGAGGCTAGCTGAGTGTCTAAGCCCCACTGGGATGAGTAGAGTCTGATGCAGCAGGAATTGGCAAGGCAGGGGAAGCTGGGCCTTGAGATTCCTGACAGGATGTCCTTACCCCGTGCATGCCCCTCCCCCGGGGGGGGGGTGGGTAGGGATGGAGAAGTCACAAAGCTGTTAAGGACTAGGAGGGGCCCATGGTGGGAAGAGCACAGGTGCAGTTACGGGGCTGCCCCTCTCCCCAGCCTGGCCCAACCCTGGGGGCTGGAAAGCCTGGGTCCAGCACAAGAGACTCAGGGACAAGGCAGCCAGCCCAGTGGGATGCACCAGTTTGGAACAGGTGGCAAGGGGCTAGCCTCAGCTAGGTGGTTGAGGGTCAGAAAGAGCTATCACAGTCTGCGGGCAGGGACGCACCCTCTAGTGTGTGTGCCTGGTGATGGCAAGCTGGCACCTTGGTGCTCTTCCTTCCAGATTTCTGACCCAACACACACATGGTTTGGCTTCAGAGCAGAATCAAAATGGGGCTCTGGAGGCTAGCCAGAGCTTCATCTAGCAGGATAGGCTCTGGGGCCACACCCAGAGCCAGCTGCCCACAGAGGCCATGGACCATCACCTGCTTTGTATGTTTCACCCCAGGAATGAAAACCACAACAGATCTGTCTCCCACACCTCCAGTCACGGAGACCTCGGGGGGCCAACACGTGCCTCCTACCAGGTATGTGCAGTTGGCCCCGAACCCCTTGCCCACCAGGCTGGCCCTGAGGCTTTGCCCTTAGGAGGGTTGCTCGAAGGTGCAATTGGAAACGCAGCTGACCCTGAATGCATTTTTGTAGCATAAATCTTCCATGGGACATTCTTCCTCTTGAAAAGACACACATTGTTCATCTGAACTTTCAATTTAACTGGGCAGCCTGGACTTTTGATCGTGAGCATGGCAACGCTCAGGCTGGGACCCTTTAGCCCCTCTGAGGCCTCTTTGTCCATTTGCCTTTGAGGACAAGGCTGCAGGTCAAACCTGAATGGATTGGCAGACTCCTTCCTGCCTGAGCCCAGCCTTCCCCAGTACCCAGGAGGTCTAGAGCCTGCAGTGGGCAGGTGCCAGCTGTGAGCTCAGCTTCCTTGTTCTCCCTGTTTGGCAGAAGGCATATGGTGCCAGTCCAGTGTCACCAGCCTACTACTGGTCAACCAGTATCCACTCACTGGTTTCATTGCATCACAGCTTGCTGTGTGCATCCCCAGAGGCAGACACCCCACTCTCTGGCTCCTTTCCCCTGGATTGGCTGGGCAGAGTGGGTAACTTCCCACTCTACTGCCTCCATCCCATCTGTTCACTTCAGCTTAAGTTCTACAAATGAGTCTAAAGAACTCCACCCTTGCTTGGGGGAGAGATTCCTTTAAATCCTGTCTACACCCCTAATTCTTTTGTGTAAACACATGGCTGTGATTTTTACAGCTGGGAGTCAGCCGGCCGGAGGTCCAGAGAGAGGAGAGCTTGCATCGGGCATGTCTAAGGGTGGGAAGTTTTGGTCCCTGGCCTGCCAGGCAACCTCTCCTACACCTTCCAGGAGCAAGTTCTGTTCAAGTTCTGACTTGTGAGATAGGAGCAGGGAAGGAAGGAGAGAAAGAGGGGATCGTGGGAAGCAGATAGAGAATGGCGGGTGTCAGGGGTTGGGGGTCGCTAAGAATTAGTTAATTCACTCCTGAGCACACTGACCCCGAAACCTTCCAAGGTGTGGCAATACCTGAAAGCCAGGTCAGCCCAGGGGTCGGGGAGTCGTGAAGAGAGCCCCCGGGGAAGGAGGCAGCAGAAACCAAGGCTAGAGGCACAGGGGACAGTGACTCCCATGGCCCAGCTGGGATGAAGACCAGGCAGAGGGAGAGGACCATGACCGTCAGGCTAAGCATGTCAGGTGCCAAGGGGACCTGAGGCCTGGCCTGCAGTCCATGGCTGTGCCCTTCCAGGGGCTGGTCTCATAGGTCCTGAGCTTGCCCTCATGTAGCTACTAGAAGCGAGGGGCTAGACCCAGGGACTGCAGGAAGATCTCTGCCCCAGTAAACAGCTCATTTGCTGTCATGGTGTCCCTGGCAGGTCTTGGCTCAGCAGTGACCACTCCCTGAACTTGTTCCTGCTCCCGATCTTCCTGAAGCTGCCCCTGCTCCTGGGCACTCTCGGGGCTGTCCTCTGGGTGAGCATGTGGTGGAGAAGCCCTGAGTGGCAGGCAGAGCCTGCCCAGTGGGAACTAGCAGCCGCTGTTCCCGACCAGACTGAAAGACCTTCAATGAAGACAGAATCTTTCCATTAGGAAGTGACCGTGGCCTCGGGAATTCAGGGAGGCACAGCTGAGAATGAGAGACGAGCACAAAGCAGGAGTGAATGAACTCGATATAAAGATGTATGCACGGACAAAACCAGGCACAGGAGACTGGAGACTCCATGTCTGCACGCTGGCTGTTCCCGAAGAGTAGGACTAACCCAAACATGAGAATGATTCAGTTGGATTGCAACCTATCCTCCAGCCTGCCCCGAGAAGACACATGGTGTCCCAGGGGTGAGAGTGATGCCAAGGACCCACACCTGGAGTATTGCACAGTAACACAGCGTGGAGGATGGAGATAGGCTCAAATGGGCTGCCCATCACGGGGGGGGGTGGTGCCCAGGAAAGGGGTCGGGTGTTCTCAGGCCTCCCAGCAGCACACAGTCATCAGTGCCCTGACCTTGAGAAGGAGCCAGGGTTTGAGAAGGAAATTGGAACACAGTGTGCAGGAGCACAGCACAGGGCATCTTCTTGTGTGGACTCTGAACTCCCTCTGTGATGGAACGTTTACAGCTTGGTTGCTCATAATTCCTTGGATTATTAGAAAAAAATAGAGTGAAACTAAACGTCGACTTGCAAGATCCGACTGAGGAGAGAAAGGCTTCAAGAAAGCAGCAAGAGGAGCTCAAGCAGAGGATGGGGGTCAAGGTCAAGGCCAAGGTCGGTGGGTGTACAGGGAACCGGAGGTTGGAGAGCAGTGGGGACTGCAAGGACTGCAGGGACTTCCATGGTCATTGTGCCAGGCGTTAATAAAGTACACAAGCTTTATGAGAAAATGCAAGTCCTCCTCGTTCATAGTGGAGAGTCAGTCGATGGTTTAAGTGCGTTCTTAGAAAGAAGGTGGCGTGGGGCTGAAGGCTGAGGCTGGGGCTCTGCTCATGATTATTAGTGTTATCATTATTATTTAAATTTATTTATTTTGTTGGAAAGGCAGATCAGATTGATAGGGAGGCAAGAGCAGAGAGAAAGACTGTCTACTTTGCTGATTCACTCCCCAAATGTCGCCACAGCTAGAGCTGAGATGATCCGAGCAGGGAGCCAGGAGCTTCTTCCAGACCTCCCATGCAGTGCAGGGTCTCAAGAACTTGGGCCATCCTCGACTGCTTTCCCAGACCGCAAACAGGGAGCTGGATGGGAAGTGGGGCTGCTGGCACATGAACTGGCACGTGCAAGGCAAGGATTTAACCATTGAGGCATCATGCCAGACTCTGATCATAAAGCAAGTTTCACCATTTGTTGCCTTTTGTTAACTGATGCATGAAAGTTGACCACAGTGATGTTTGGAGAGCTGTGTCCATCATGTGATGTTCCATATATGTCACTCTGGTCACTTTATGGTCAAAACATTTGAACTCCATCCTTCTTACTTGGCGAAAGCTTCCTGCAGCACCTGGTGGCTTTCTAGAACCACCAGGTTTAGGAGCTGAGCCACTGGGCAGCTTTGGACCTGTATGGTTCCTATGGGACTCTCAGCCAGCTGCTGATGTGGGGCCTGCCTCTGCTTACAGTGCCTGGGGCTCAGCAGACACCCCAGCCATGGCTTTGGATTAGGAGGGAGTCACAGGGCAGCTGTGAGATCCAGCCTCCAAATAAGCGCAGCCTCAGTCCTCACCCGCAGAGGAACCCGTGGCCTGGCAGGGAGACTTGGCTGGCAGGGCCCTTGACGGGCTGGGAGCACCCTCTGGGAGGCAGGCAGGTGGCATTGGAGACCCTGCCTCAGCTCTGGTCATGGGGACATGGCTCTTCTCAGCGGGCTCTGGGACAAAGCAGATGTTCCTCCAACGTGTGTAGGCCTCGTCGAAGCGGTCCTGCTTGCAGGGAGGGGCATTATTCAGAAGGCCAAAGGCAGCTGGGAAGGCCACAGGAAGGCGTTGCGGTTCGGCCACAGAGGCTTCAGGAAGGGGTAGATGCTGTAGACAAAACCTGTGATTGAAGGATCAAGATGTGTATTCATTTGCAAGATAGAGTTATAGAGAAAGGGGCGGATGAAAGAGAGAGAGATTTCCCATCTGCTAGTTAACTCACAAGATGGTTAAAATGGCCAGAGCTGAGCCAATCCAAAGCCAGGAGCCAGGAGCCTCGAGTCTCATCCAGGTCTTTCACATGGGTGCAGGGTCCCAAGGACTTGGACCATCCTCTGCTGCTTTCCCAGGCACATAAGCAGGAGTCTGTATCAAAGTGGAGATGCTGGGACTCAGTTCCCATGTGGGATGCTAGTGCCACATGTAATGTTTTTACCCAATATACCACAGGGACAGCCCTACAATGTTTCTTTTTTCACACTCCCTGGGCTCTGTGATCTTGAGGCAAGGGTCTCCCTCCAGGTGGCTGACACGGTAAATATTTTACTGGTGAAGTAGATGGTGATGGGTGATGTGTTAAACATAGTAGTGGGTGCTAGGTACATTGGACAGAATCACCAACTGCCCTAGGCACTGTCAATCCAGACCTGAGCTGGGGAACTGTGCCCTGCAAGCTGGGGCAGCTATAAGGAGAGCAGCTTATCTGGTCCCACCCATCTCCCTAGCCTGCAGGAGGCTCTAGGGCCTCAGAAGCAGGAGGAGGAGCAGGCCCTGAAGGGACAGGAGGCATGGGAAGGGCTTTGGACAAGGCAGCTCAGATAGCCCCAGGCCAGAGCCCCACTCTGGCTGACCACTCATTTCCTCAACAGGGCCTCAAGGACCAGGAGAGCAGGCCCATGAGACATACCTGCCCCTTACCTGGGTCAATAATCACTTCAACTGACACCCCAGGGTCAGCCCAGAATGTCTCCATCCCACACCAGTAAATGTCAGCGTCATCTTCACAGAGCTGCTCCATGGTCACGGTGAACATGCGACTTCTGTGATGATCCCTGATGGACACACGGCCCTGCCGTACCTCTTGCTCTGCTCTGACCCAGTAGTAATGAGGAGGGTCTCACAGTTATTCCACTCAGCTCCCCGACACCAGTATTTCTTGTACGTCTCCCATCCTTGGCCATAACAACACCACACACACAGGTTGCCCCGCTCTGGGCCTCTCTCTGTTTCTGGACCTGTGATACCTTCCCTGGCACCAGAGCTGCCTGCAAAACACAGATCCATGCGCCTGTCACCTCCACCCATTACACAGTGACTGGGTCCCTAATGCCCGTGGAGAAGGACAATCAGAATGGCAGAAGTGCACTTTTCCAAGACCAGCCCTTCTGTGGTTCCCTATGTCCCAGCCACCAGGAGATTCCCTAAAAACACAACTGCACACTCACAGTGCTCAGGGCCCACCACAGTGAGGGGAGATGCAGGCTTCTATTTGCCAAGAGACTCTCAAGTTCATGTTGAAAGATTGAGTTCTACAGGTGGCCTTGGTTTTGATCTGTCCTGGAACCCTTACAAGTCTGGAAATTGTCAAGTTAGGCAGTCCCTGCCTTCCTGTGAGTGTGTTAATGAAAGTGTCCACCTCTGTGTCTTGATATGCTGCGTTTGGCTACCAACTCGTCATCGTTGTTTTCATGAACCCTGTTTGGATGAAATCTTGAGGCTGCTTCAGGGCCCTCCCAAGCCAGAGGCCCCGACCCTCTCCATTTCAACAGGTCTACATTACCAGCTGAGGCAGTCACTGGGCCACAAGCCGAGTCTGATTTCCATGAGGACTGCAGAAAAACAACAAAGCTACCCACACCCCTGAGAAGAAAGATGAGTGTTTGAGTTTGGGAACAATTCTTTGCACCAAGAAGGAAAGATAACATTAAGGGAGATCGTTAAGAAAAAAGAATGCAAAAAAACCAGATGTGACCAGCTATAAAAATATGGTTGGATGGTGCTGTGCTATATCGCCTTAAGCTGCTGCTTACAATACCAGCATTTCACATGGGTGCTGGTTCAAGTCCTGACTACTCCACCTTCAATGTTACCTGCTAATATAGGTCTGGGGAAAGCAGCCGAGGATGGCCCAAGAGCTTGGGCCCCTCACCCACATGGGATGCCTGAAGGAAGTTCTTGACCCCTCAATTCTCACTTTGGGTCAGCCCAGCTCTGGAAGTTGTGGCCATTTGGAAAGTTACCCAGCAGACAGAAGATTTCTCTATGTCACTTCTTTAGTCTGTGTCGCTCTGCCTTTCAAATAAAACACTCATTAAAAATAATACATGGAAAATAAATATCAGGATATGTTGTTGTGGTACAGTAGGCTAAGCCAGCACTTGCAATGCAGGTTTGGATCCTGGCTGCTCTGTTTCTGATCGGGCTCCTTGCTGATGCACCTGGGAAGGCAGCAAATGATGGTCCTTGGTCCTTGAGCCTTGGACATTGCCACCAGGCTCCTGGCTTCAGCCTGACCGTTTGGGAAGTGAGCAGGTGGGGAGAAGATTTCGCTCTGACCCTCCATCTCTCTCTGTCACTCTTTCAAATAAACAACTCTTTACAAACACTGAGGAAGGAAACAAAAACTTGATCAAGAATAGAATTATCACAAAAATGGATCTGCTTACAGACCAGGTTAAAAATGCATCAAGATGCAACACACTTTAACACAAAGGCAGCATTACCCAACAGAACTCAAGTGACACAGCCAGAGCTGTATTCAAAGTTACTTCTCAGAAAATATTTGCCCATTTCCCCAGAAATGCAAATACACAGTGAGTGCGTCACACAGTCTCAGAACTGCCCGTTGCTCTAGCAGTGTGCACGAGCCTCGGCGCTCCATCGAGGAGAGTTTATGACAGCTCTGCTATTGAAGGTCAGGGTCCAGCATGTGCCCCAGCCATGCTGGGGAGGCCTTCTTTTTTTTTTTTTTTAATTTATTTTTATTGCAAAATCAGATATATAGCGAGGAGGAGAGAGAGAAAGTAAGATCGTCCATCGATGATTCACTCCCCAAGTGACTGCAACGCCCGGTGCTGCACCGATCTGAAGCCGGGAACAGGAACCTCTTCTGGGTCTCCCATGTGGGTGCAGGGTCCCAAAGCTTTGGGCCATCCTCGACTGCTTCTCCAGGCCACAATCAGGGAGCAGGATGAGAAGTTGATCTGCTGGGATTAGAATTGGTGCCCATATGGGATCGCAATATGTTCAATGGGAGGACTCTAGCCACTAGGCCATGCCACCGGGCCCTGGAGAGGCCTTCTGATAGCACCTCAGCTGGCAGAGGTGTCCTGCTGGTAGGGAGCAGGGTGGTATGTCAGTGGGCAGGGTATCTGGCAGAGCAGGTGGCCAGAGCGATGAAGGAGTGGGCTGCTCTCTGGATGGGAGCTGCCCTCACAGGAGCCACCTCAGCAGGCTCAGAATGGCATCAATGCAGCTCAACAGTGCTGCCCACAACCTCACCACCTCCCTGAGCACCAGAAAGTGCTTAAAGGCTCCACCACCTCAGCACTGCCACCCTGGGGGCCGAGCTTCCAACACCCTGTAAGGCAGGATGGTGCGGGATGAGGGAGTGGCAGTTTACAACCAGAATATATCCAAACCACAGCACCTGGCCATTCTACTCCTAGGCACACACCAAAAGAATGGAAAACTTGTGCTACTGCAGACAGGTGTGCAATGAGATGGAGAGATTGTTGACAATCTCCAAAATCGGCAGCAGCAGCTCAACAGACGGCCAGATACACAGCAGGTGGTCTGTTGGCAGTGGAATAGTGCACAGCATAACCATGAATGAGGTGCTGGCTCAGGCTGTGACATTAACAGACCTTGAAAATGTCATGCTGAGTGGAGGATCCCAGACTGGGAAGAGGGCACATGTGGCAGGAGTCAAGTGCATTCACGCGACATTTCCAGAACAGGGCACTCCAAAGAGATGAGACAGTGGAAGGGGATGCCACGGGCTGGTGTCAGGGGAGGAGAGGGCCCACTGCTGGGTCTGGAATTCTTTTTGAGGAGATGACCACATCATGGAGTGAGACGGGAGATTGCTGCTCAGCTTCGTTAGTACACTAACGGCCACTGCACTCTCGGAGGAGGGAACTGTGCGGCAGCACGTGCGTGACACCTCTGCTTCCAGAAGCAGACAGAAATGCTTTCTTCACCTTCGACTTGCTCAGTTACTGTCTGAAAGGCAGGCGGATAGCACAGTGTCTTAGAGAAGATGGCAAGTGGCAATCCCAGGGAGGTAAGAGGAAGTGATTACAGGATCACCCGCAATTGTTCTGGCCTGCACTGTGCCTTGACCTAGAAGGAGGTGGTCTTTGCTGCTCTCTGCACATTTGCTATGTTTATGTGTGTCGGTGAGGCATCAGGTGGTGCTGGGGGTTGGCATCTCTCCGAAGATAGTAATTCCCCACCAAATGTCAGGACCCTTTAATTCTGTACCCACTCTGTGAGGTGGAGCTGTCGTTCTTCTTAACTGACAAATTGATGAGGTCCGGTAACACCCTGGATTCGCATGTGCAAGAGCCAGACTTTGTGGGAAGCTATCGCAGCATCTCCCTTCCAGGGGAAGGACTGAGAGCTGGAAGTGTCTGTGAGAGATGACATGTGTCAGTCTGATCACTGAGTAGCAGTTGCCAGAGTCTCAAATCTAGACGTCTTACTTCACGTGCTCAGAAGTCCTAGGACAGGAGTTGAGAACTGACCTGGTTTTCATTCTTCCACCTTTCTGCCCATCTAGGAGACACTGGCAAGGATGCAGTGAATTGCACCTACAAGAATGAGGATGACTGTGTGGTCAGATCCCAGTACTACGAAGACTTAGTGGCAAGTCCATCCTGTGTGTGGCAGAAGAGCCAGGTGAGGCCCTGCTCCTGCCCCGGGGAGAGGGAGTCACATCAGGCAGGGATTTCCACTCATATCCCTGTTAGGTAGAACAGGGTAAGCCTGACCTTGTAGAGCTGAGTTACTGTGTCATCTGGGTGAGGGGGATATGTAAAAGTGACTTTTACTCATTGAGGAAAGAGCAAAAATAAGCTGCGTAGGAAGGGTAGGGAGGTAGGTATGGATTTCATCTAAGTCCAAGGAGTTAAAAATTGAAATTCTACACTTTACAGCGCATGTCAAGTGAGGCGGCTGCCAGGAGCTGTTTGTCCGTCCAGGGGAAGGCCGGATGGTTGGAGGGCGGTTGGAGGCATTGCTCTTCACAGGCTCACCACGGGACGTAGTCAGGGGTCGGAGGCATTGACTCAGTTCTGTCCTGGATGACTTGCTGCTGCAGCAGACCCCTCCTCTGTTGTAGGGAAGGGGACCCCAGATCCCCAGGCTCACATTGCTCTTTCATCGCCTTGCTCTTTCCCTGGCTTGAAGTAGAATGCAGTGGCCAGGGACCCAGAGCTTAGGAGGAAAGTGTTCTCTTTCTCTTCTTCAACACTTACTAAGATGCTCCCCACCGAAGGGCTGAGCCACCGCAGGGCAGCAAGAGGGCGTCACCAAGGGGTTTAACATTGGCCGGTGTGGAACGGGCTCGTGGCCTAGAGATTCATCACTTCTAGATAGTTGCCGGGTAAAACATAGTATGTAGCATGTAATATATGCTATCTACTTAGGTTACAAAGTAGTTTGTTGTCTGTCTGAGTATGGATTTATCCGGCTGTCTGTACTTTTGTTTGCTGAATTAACCCTAGTTTTCTCTGACCTTGGGCCACTCATCATGAGCCCACTGCTCTGGCTGAGGGTGTTCCCCGGAGACTGCCTGATCTTGTCGCTGCTTTAGGGAGTCTGCCACTTAGCCCTTGGAGGGCAAATGGCAACAGTTTTCCTGCAAAGACCTCCTGAGGTTCTGCCTGTCCTGGGGGCTGCCCTACCCCAATCTCCTGGAGACTTCACAATGGTTTTTTTTTCCATTAGAACTGGGGCCCTTCATTCCAGAGAACACTCTTGGTTCCTTAGCTCCTCTCTCCAGGAACTCCATTTGTTAGAGGCAGGTTATAATTTGGAGGGTTGGGAAGCTGCCACCTTGGGTTTGTGGTGGTGGTTGTTTTTGAGTGGTGTCTGGCGAGCACAGTGTGTATGTTTAGAGAAGAAGGTGGGAGATGGTGTGGGCTGTGGGGATGACTTCCTTTCCCGGTACATCACTCCTCACACATACAAACACCTGCTTTCATCCACCTGAGGCTGCCAGAGTGGGTCACTTGTCCACCACTGGAGGCTCCTGGGAAGGTCTCTGCAAGACACACCCAGATTGACCCTTGGTGGCTGACATATGCCTGTTTGTGTTGGGTGCTGACCAGGGTCAAAGAGAAGTCAGCTTTCAACAGAGCTGGGGTTTTAGATAACCAAAATGTCTGAGAAAAAACCCAAAATATTGTTATAGCCAGGAGGCCTGTTCTCTGAGAATGCTGAAAAAGTTGCTAGGTTAGCATCCCTCATCAACGTCAGCATCTGAACCAGGGTGGCACCCACGAGGAACACCTGTAATAATACTGGCTGGCTCTTTGAGCATTCATTCTGTGTCAGGCGCTGTTCTGAGTTCCTTAAATGGAGTGAACTTAGCCATTCCTTGTATGACAAAGTCGAAAAGTCAGTGCTATTACTTTTCTGTTTTAATGATAGAGAAATAGGAAACAAAAGCCCAGAAGAAAGGCCCAGTAATTTCCCAGAGGTCATGCAGCGCAGAAGCAATAAGCCAGGACTCAGACCCAGGCATCTGTGCCTTCACTCCCCTCGTGTGAATGTGTCTGGCCATGGTCACCTGTTGACAGCAGCAAGAAGGCAAGGTCGCTGGAGAGGGAGCCAGAGGAAGCCTTGTGCCCCCTGGTGTCTGAGGCAGGACGGTGCAGGATGTGTCTGAGGCAGGCCCTTCCACAGGGGCCAGCTGCATGGAGACCGTCTCCCAGCCGTGGGCTCTGACTGGGTGCTGGGCAGTTGGCCACTGGGGAGACAAGGAACAACCCTAAACAGTGACTGCTTTTTCATACTCAGGACTCTTCTGATGACACTCTTTTTAAAAATCACTTTTTTCTTCCTTTCTGTTGCTGCCATTTCATAGACTTAAGCTTGGGTTAATTTTTCTTCCTATGTGGTAACCAAATCTTGGTGACTCCGAGCCTAAACTGCTGGGGATGTATGTCTGTACACTGACACTCAGTTTCCTGGTAACGAAAGCATTCTCGTCCTTTCTGACAGAACCAGAACCAACGACAGGGAATCCCAAAGCGGAATTCCTGAAGATACTGCAGGCCCAAAAGAGGAACAGTAACGGAATTAATTATTAATTCAGAGGTGGAAAAATCAGAGAAACATAAGCTTGATCTTCTAGACTCTATGAATGAGCAGCTAGACTTGAATGCAAAAGGTGTTGTTATCAGTTTGCTAAATTACATACTGCGTTATTTCTCCGCCAGCGATCTAGAAGACGTAGAGTCAGTGTTACTACCCTTCATTAAATTGCTCTTTTCCAGTCCACAAGAAGAAGATAGATCTGTGGATCACTTGAAAAACAATCCACAAGACTTCTCTGTAAAACTTAACAAACATCAATTCAGAAAGATCCACTTTCTGGAAAATTTGATAAACTCTGCAATTGAACAAAAACTGGATGATGAGGTTAAAAACACCAAAAAAGCTGTCGTGCTGATGCAGCCTCCGTTAGATCTGAAAGCAAAACGACTATTCTTCCTAAGGAAGTTAGAAAGTACCGGATCACAGCACATCAGCCGGGGGCCAAAGGGCCTGAGGAAAAGGCAGCAGCGGGAGACAATCGGGAGGAGAGAGAACGCGCGCCCCCTGGTGGAGGGCACCGTGCAAGGCCGGCTGGGGAGCGCAGGAGCTTCATGTGGCCCAGAGGCCCTGGCACCTGGGGGCCAACTCCTTCTACCCAGGGCCCCCACTCACAGAGAGCCTCCCTCTTTCCTGAAGAAGTACATCGCGGGCAGGCCATCTGCTGCGGCCCGTGCAAAGTGTCTCTCTGAGCCAGAGAAAAGGCTAATTGACATATTTATAGCAAAAATGCGAGCAAAAAAGGCAGAGACAGCAGAACCAAACACAGATTGCCATTTCAATAACATTGATCTTGCTCCAGTGTTCAAAACCCCCAAAGCCAAACGGAGACTGAAGTTGAGAAGGAAGAATTCCCTCAAAACATGGAGCTCCGTAAAGAGGCCCGTGTTCCTTGCCCTACAGAGTCTCATCAATTCCCCTCCCCGAGAGCCTTCTCCCTCTTCTGGAGACCCGAGTTCTCAGGATTTTCCTTCTCCGGAAGCGATGGCTCTTCCAGTACCTCCTGCAGAAGACATTCTTGAAGCCAGCCTTGCTGCAGGAAATGACTTAGGAAACACTTTGAAAGACAGCATGGCTGTGCCAGAAGAATCTCCCCCTGCCAGCGCAGTCCAGGAGCATCCATTGGCCGCTGGTTCCCCTGAGACTGCCCCCAACTCAGTAGTGGTCACTGAGCAAATGCAATGGAGGAACCCTAACATGGGCAGGGGCATCCATCCCCTCCATGCCCACAGGCAGTATTTACCCCTTGCAGTCATCCCCAGTGCACCAATTGGAAAGTCAGCTGAACCAGCAGCTTTGGTCCCTCATCCCCAATAATGACGTGAGAAAATTCATCTCAGAAGTTATCAGGACTCTGCAGATGGACTGTGCGGACCCCCAGGTGCAGCTGTCCTGTGCCAAGCTCATCTCCAGAACGAGCTTCCTCATGAAGCTCCTCAGTGAGCGGCAGCAAGTGAAGGCCAAGGCAGAATGGGACACAGACCGCTGGAAAGAAGAGGACTACATCAGCGAGAGCCCAGGAGGCCAGACTGATGCAGGAATGATCGAGCCAAGTGAGGTGAGGACGGCCACGAGACCGGAGAGCTGCCCTTTCCTGTCGCTCAGGAAGTGTCATTAAAGCCCCAAGGAGGAAGAACAGGGGCTCCCAGTCCATATCTTGCATTGGGCACATAACTTTGGCCAAGGTGGCAATTTCCCACTTTGCTCCTTTAGAGAATGAAGCAGACGTGACAAGCTAGATGAACTGTAGAGTACCCGTGTGATAATCAGATCGTGTAACATTGGATCTTATGTGGTCTTGAAGATCCTACAAGCCACTCACCTGGAAGAATACGGGCTGGAATAGTTAAGTGTTCATGCTCTCTTTATTTGATCTCTTTTCATTGCTCTTTTAGCTCAAAGAAGTCCCAAGATACAGCCTTAAGAAAATACTCATCATGGCAATATCTGTCACTGTAGCTGTGATGATCTTAATAACGGGAGCCTGTCTCGTTGGGGTAAGGACAACGATTCACTTAGGTTTCTAGAACATCCTTTTTCTTTTTTTTTTTTACAACAGATTTGAATGCAGAGTGAACATCAAAGCCACTTGCCCACATACTGCCAGTTGACGTTCTTCTATGGTCACAAAGACATACTCTCCTGAAAAGCATATGCTTGAGATTTTGAATAGACCCTACTCCCAGGAAATCTCAGTGCAACTGGAAACTAGGTAGCAAGCCAAGCCACTGGCTCTTGTGAGAGGTGGAAGACCAGACTTCATAGATAACAAGATTTCCCCACAGCTATGTCAACTGTTTGATGTGCTTACCACTCCCCTCTCTGCTCCTGTTGGTCTCTCTTCTCGTTGTTGAAATGATGAGCGCTGTATCAGCACCCTCACCTCACAGAATGGTTACTGTCCTCAGGACACTACCAGAAAACATGTTAAAGATTCTACCTGTTCTAATACATAAGGCAGGTCTAAAGACAGGTTGTTTATGTACCTGAATGTAACTGAATCCTGCTTCCTAAGCTGAACCCTGAGGAGTGCTGTATTTATCCTATCCCATTCCTGGAGCCTGACTCTGTTCACCTATTGTTCAGTTACATAAAGTGCATTACTTTTCCCAACAGGAAAGGGCTTGAATATGAAGTCATTGAAAGATCTGACGGTCTTGACTCTACCCTAGCAGTCCAACCCAGTTTACTTCGCTGACACTCTTCCTGTCATGTCAGCCCTGTCTGTGTTCCTGCCTGAGTGGCCCCTTACCGTACCCTGGCCACACCACGGCCATTCCTACTTTCACCTGTGCCTTTTCTACCTAAAATTCCCTCACTTCATGGCATGCCTTGACTCCTCCAACTCTCTTGGGACTAAACCTTCTGTGAGATGGATCATCGTTTCTATGAAACCACAGGGAGGTATTTCCTCTCCCCTGAGAACTTTAAAAATGTGGCAGTTTTCACAAAGGGAAGTGCCAAGGTCAACACGCGAGGGAGCACAGCAAAGGTATATAAGGACGAAAGAGCTTCCCAGGTCTATTGGCCTCCGGTAACACCCGCCTAGTGTATCACTGTTTCTAAAGGCAGACATGCCAGCCACAGCAGGGGATGGTGACAGGAGCACAGAAAGATGAGAGCCCACCAGCATGCTAGTGGCCATCCTGACATTGCACTAGGGCAGAGGGACAGCCCCAGGCAGATGTGGAGGCAGCCCCCTGGTGAGTCTGAGCCTCTGCAGGAGAGGGACAAATCTGGCCACTCCAGACCTTTCCATTAAACGCTGGGTTCAGCTGATTCCTTTGCATCTTTGCCCTTCCCAAGTTGCCTTCTGATGGTGCTTGAGTGTGCCATGGAGGCCTGCCCCTGCAGAGGCAGCTCCCTGGTCATGCAGTCACAGCTGTTCTGTCTTTTCACTCAGGCTGTGCTGCTGATCAGGTGAGGTTGTTTCCAGTGAGTTTGCTGCTTGTGAAAACAGTCTGATTTCTGAACCCAGGAGCTGGGAGCCACATGGGGTCAACTGCCAAGGGGTCGGCGGAGACAGTATCCTGGATATCTCCAGGTGGCCCCTGGTCTTTGCCTTCGGGGAAATGGCTGAAATTTTGATCAAGTCCTGCGTTATTTTAATGTGTATGTTTAGTTCTGGCTTACTTCTCTTTGTATTCATTCATGTTTTCCTGAGTTCCTCTCCCCAGTTAGATGAGAAGGTTTGTGAGGTCAGGGAGTATGCAGAGTTTTGCCTGTATTAGAAAGATAGTAAGTGTTCAGAGGATCAGAGTTAGGTACAATGTCAAGTTTACGGTGAAGAAGAATGCAATATAATATTCATTTGAAGCAGCATACAGAGTTGAGAGTTCAGTAATACATAGACATGTGTGTTCCTAAAACTTCTGCAGTGTTGCCTCTAGCCTAATCAGTTTGAGAAAACGCTGCCTAGCTGCCTAAGAACTTAGGGTGAATGACAGACAGTGATAGATGGATACTTCTCATCCTAAATGTATTTCAGTTAATGTCTTTAAAAAAAAAAAGACAAAAAGATACTGAGAATAAATTTCAAGCAGTATTTTTCAGTCTTGGGATGGAAAAGAGCTTTCTAAGCCCAGTGGCATAGGAGAAACCTTTGAAAGATTTGTCTGCCTGTGTGTGACACTGCTAGCTGACTCAGCACTTGGGGAGGTCAGGCTTGGGGCAGAGTCTCCCCTGTGTTCTCAACTTAGCCCTTGCAGCAGTTCCCCTTTCACAGGTCATGGCAATCAAGCTATGGGCCCAAATGACAAAGCCAACGTCAGACCCAGATCTCCTGACTGCAAAGAATGCATTCCTCATTCCCTTTGTTCTCTTTCCCTTCCTTACAAACACACTGAGAAATACTGGAAACACTTGAACAAGAAAAAGGCCACCAAAGAGATTAATATATTTATTGTATTTAAAAAAAAAAGGTTTCTAAACCAACAACAGCAAAATAAAAGCTAACATCCCAACAGAAGGGGGCGCACTCTGGGGTGGATAGGGAGTTGCTAGCACACATCCCTGCACCTGCCAGTCTCACATTTTGCTGATGGGATCTGAGTTTTGTTAGGTTCTTGAAACTGATAGAGTAGTAGTATATTTTCTTCTAGGACTCTTGTAACATTTTGTTCTAATTTCTATTTTGTAATCCCTCTGGAGTTATTTTTCAATATGATTGAAGTAGGGAATCTAGCTTATCTTTCTCTACATGAGTTTCTAAATCTTCTAAAATAATTTTTCTTTGAACAGTTCACTCATTCCTTACCAATCTAAAATGTCCTGATCTGGACTCTGCTCTTTCCGTCGACTCTGTGGTCTTTTCTTCCACCCATACCTGTATCACACAGGTAAACTCCAGTCACTTTATGGCTTAGTTCTGAGTTTTATATTTGTTAGAGCGAGCTCCTGCTCTCTCATGTTTCTTGCACTATTCTTGCCCATCATTCCCCACTGAATGGCAGCCGGTCAGTTTTGTAAAAATGTATCTTTGGATTTGTATAAAACTGAATTGAATTATTTTGATTAATTGATTAATTTGAGGTTAATTGACATAATCACAACATTATAGGAATGCAAGTCTCATGGCTTTCAAAAGGGCTTTAGTGTTTTCATTACACAATCTTACACATCTTTTGTTGAGCTTATTCCAGGATAAGCTTTAATCCTTTCTGTTGGTTACAAACGGGACCCTTCTTGCGTTTTCCCATTAGTTGTTGGCAGCACACAGGAAAGCTACCACAGCATGTATGTTGATCTCTTGACCTGGTGTCTGGCCAACTTTCTGGACTCGCATATTACTTTCCACAAAAATGGTAGTTGATTTTCTTGGGTTTTCCGAGTTGTCCATCATTTCACATTCAGATGACATCTGTTTTGTCTTCCTTTGTGACACAATACTGTATTTGTCTTTTTGAAAAATTGATACTCAAGATTTACCTATTCTTATTGGAGAGACAGTGCTGTTCCACCCATCGGTTCACTCTAAATGTCTGCAACAGCCAGAGCTGGTCTGAAGTCAGGAGCCTGGAGTTGCTGTGGGTCTCCCACACAGGCACAGGAGCCCAAGCACTTGGATCATCCTCTGCTGCTTTACTCAGGCTGTTGGCTGACAGCTGAATCAGAAGTACAGCAGCTGGGACTCGAGCCATTGCACAAATGGGATACTGCACTACAGGTAGAACTAAACCTAAACACCATTGCACTAGTCCCTATTTTAGGGCCTCCTCAACAGTGGTAAATAGTAGCAATCCTACTAAGCAGCCTAGTCTCCTTGACTTCTCTGTTTAGTTTTCTGATCCAATTAAAGATGCTTCATCTTTTCCTCTTCAAAGAGGTTTCATGGAGAATTGTCTGCTGAAAGTTATCTAAACAGCCAGTAAAATGTATTAGGCGCCAGATACATACAAAAAGAAAGGCATGCAAATGATCTGGACATTGTGGTCACTGTGTTGCATAATAATGGCTGTGTCTTCTTCCAAAACAGATTTACTCTCACAGGGCAAGAGCCGACGCCGAGGAGGAGGACATAGGAAAAGGTCTAAGGTAAGTACCAGCTCAGTAATGTGTGAAATGAAACTCGAGAACTAGAAGAGAACACATGGATTCCAGTCACCTCATTGCTTAGTGAGATCTCCACAGACAGGAAGCATACTTCACAGCTGGGGTAGACAGCACCACCATGGCACCTCTGCTGTCCCCAGTCCTTCTTGGATGCAGGGGCTGGGGAGGGACTCCAGCTGTGCCATCCCTGCAGCTGACACTACTTTGACCATACCAGAGGGCTTCCTGAAGGCTTCCAGCAAGGGCTAGGGGAGTCTGTGTTGCACTGTGGGAGGAGCTGTTCTCCTTAAAGAAGGCAGGAAAAGTTCTTCTCATCCTGCTTGTCTTTATTTTTTTTAATCTGTTTTTCTTTTTTTTTTCTTTAAGATTTACTCTATTTTTATTAGAAAGACAGATTTACAAAGAGAAGGAGAAACAGAGAAGGATCTTATGGGTCTCCCGTGAAGGTACAGGGTCCCAAGACCTTGGGCCATCCTCCACTGCATTCCCAGGCCACAGGCAGGGAGCTGGATGGGAAGTGGAGCTGCCAGGACACAAACTTGTACCCATCTGGAATCCCCGCAAATGCAAGTCGAGGATTTAGCCAATGAGCCATCACACTGGTCATGTCTTCTCTCTTCTAACCAAGCTTCTAAGAGCTTTAACTGGAAGAGATCTTCAAACTAAAGAGAAGTCTGTCTCTTCATTGTGTGACAAGGAAACGAGAAAGAGGCAGCATCTTGGCCCCAGGGTTATACTGTTAACATCAGAGGAGGGTCTCTTCCCAGCTGGGGCTCCTCTCTGGCTTGTAAGGGTTTGGGGCTGTGAGCTACGTTTTCTGTCAGAAATCAGCACCCATGTACCACACAGGCACAGTTGCTGAAAACAATGCACTCTCCTGTTCTGCTGGATTCATAAGGGGTATCTTGGTGTCAGTGCGAGCCTCATCCTTTAACTAATTTCACTAATCACTCTCCCATCAGTGGCACCTGCAGTGTGAGGCTGCATGAGCTAGGTGACTGCTGTCAGACTCGGGCCCTGCCTGCTGTGACCCAGTTCACAGGGGTCAAGGACTGTGCACATAGAGGCACCTTCTCCCTCACCCCCAGGTGAAGGAGGCATGTGAGACTCAGTCCCGGTGGGGCTGGTGCCAGATGCTAAAGGAGGGAGACAGTGCACGTGCCCCATGTGGTTGTGCGGTCTGTCACTGCACAAGGGTGCTTGGGGCTGACGACCTCACACAAAGCAGTGGTTCAAGTTGGCCCTTAGCCACTGGGGCACCTTCAGGCAGATCGGAGAGCTCCCAGAAGCCCAGATCCCAGGTCTGTGGTGATTTTGCTTTGTGGTATATGTGGGACAGGGACACGTTTTGTCCCGGGCACACCAGAGATGCGCGGGCCATGGAGAGTGACACCAGTCTCTGATTGGCTTGGGCATTTGTTTTCCCCCAGCGACCTTTACGAAGATTCCCTCAAGCAAAGATGCGAGAAGAAGCAGGTAAACTGAGGCACACGGTGTGTCGCTGGGGGAAGGAGTGGCGGGAGGAGGGGCAAAACATGCATTCCCCTCCCCATTCCTAGGGGTGCTAAACCTCCTGCATTTTCCTAGGTGGGCTTCTTGGTGAGGTGGCTGCACTGGCTGAGGGGTGAGCGCAAACCCCGCCGGGCAATGAGCCGGAAGGAACTGGCTCAAAGGTTGTATGATGAAACCTCTGACGAGGAAGCAATCTTCATGAGAGGGGCAAGGTAAATGACAGACTGCCTTCCCCACGTTACCTAACGGGACAAACGGGGCGGGCAGAGAGGAAAAGTGGCCTGTTCTGTTCCCCACAGCACGAGCGAAGGCCCGGGCGAGAGGGCGGCCGCTGAGTCGACTGCCGAAGGAGAAAGTGAAGCCCTCGAGGAGGGGCTCAGCGAGTAAGCCCTTTTGCTGGGGCTGCCTCCATTTATAAAACACTTCCCTTCTAATATTCGTGTGTGTGGTATTCATAAGCCATCCCAGCCAAGATGATAAGAAACGAAAGTCTAAGTTTTATACAAATCACAAGGCCACAGGCAAGAAAGGCTGGTCTGTGTCTAGAAGCCTCCGAGGTAGAAAAATCCTCCCGTGGCGGCACCATGGGCACAGGACGAACAGGGGTCCCACCACACACCCCCAGCAGTCAGGTTCTAGGACATGAACATGTCAAACACCGGGCATTCCAGTGCCTTCTCCCCTGGCTTATCAAGAACCAGTCCTTTACCACAGAGGACCTGCCACACGTCCCTCTGAGGTCTTTCAGGTTGCCTGGATATTTGGATGTTGAAGCCCCGTGCCCTGTGGCGACCTGTCCTGCCTTTTCCCCAAGCCCACAGCCTCAAATGTGAATGTGTCTCATGCTGTCGGAAGGGGCACCTGTCCTTACAAGTCAGTGGGAAAGTTCTCTGGTCTGGCTTTCTCTGCATGCTGGCCCAAGTTACCTCACAACGTTCCTTGCTGAGAAGGAAAAACACATTGTTCTCGCCCGCTGACTTCAGTGAGCCAGCAAACATTCCTGAGTGTGAAACACAAGACTAAGCAGTGGTGGCAGTGGGTGGGTGGCTATGGGGACCACCATCTCTGATTTGCTTACTTGGGGCCTGGCCCTGGAACAGGCATTTCTGTCTTGTATCTATCCCAGGACTCCATGGACTAGAGTTTTCTGTTTGGTCTTTAGACATCATTTCCTAGAGAAGGGAACAGAGCCCAAGGAACAGAGGTGACCCGCCCTAGGCCACACAAGACAAGGGAGGACTTAACCCAGGGCTGTCAGACTCCCAGGTTCCCTAACCATTCTGCTCCTCCACTCTAGGATGCAGGGAGAAAGGGCTGCCATCCAGCTCAGTAACCTTGGTAGCCACACAGATGGAAAGACAGGGACCACTGCTATTTACTAAACACCAGCATGGCCAGGTCCATCCTGGACAGTTGTGTCGCATCAGTAAGTCACAAGGACATCAACTCTCCCCATGCCGGCTCCCACTGCATCCCTGGGGGTGTTCATTTTAACGAGAGTGTAGGTTATAAAGAGGAGCCGAACCTGTAAAGGATGAGAAAATTCATGCGATGGCCACACCTTAGGGAAGCTTTAGCAGTAAGTAGAAGTTACCTGTGGTAGAGCACCTGGCTTCTGCCAGCACTGGTAGGCTACTGGGGGCCTCGGGGTGTGGGATTTCAGGGAGCCTGGGGGTGGTGGCAGCAGGTGAATGCAGGAACTGGGACTCGTGCCCAGAAAAACAGAGTGAGCCTGAGGATTTCTGCATGTACTTGATCCCAGGCAGGGGCTCGGGGTATAGAACGTGGAGGGGAGAGCCCTAGTTAGCATGCTGGGGTGGCATGCTGGGGTGGCATGCTGGTGGACCGGGCTAGGGAAACTGTGAACATGCTTGGATCTTGGGTGGGCAGAGAAGGAAACGGGCCGGTGTGCATGCGTGGAGCCTGGGTCCCTGGTGGGCCGGCAGAGCTCAACACCAGCACAGCACCACCCCATTGGAAGCCTGGGCTGGGAACCCATGTGTTCCTGGCGCAGGGACTGTGGATTGCTCAGGGAAGAGGGTATGGGGGTGTGTGGGAGGGAGGACTGCTGAGGAAGTATGTTGCAAGTGAGGAATGACTTCTAGGGGACCTCACCCAAGAAGACCACTATACTTGGCAGGTCAGTGAGGGAGCTGAGGCTGAGCAGTTGGAGGAGGGAAGCTAGAGGACCTTTCTGGGTCATGCCCATGTGGGAGACCCTAGCTGGGCTAGTGAACCTTGACCACTGCTAACCGGCAAACACCAGCTCACACTAAAGCTAGCACTGTGGTTCTTCCTGGTAGGGCTTGATCATAGTACCTACCAGTGAGTGTCCAAACAGGGGGCTGGTAATGCTAGGCTAGGCCATGACATTAACCAACACATGAGAGAACCAGGTCTGGGGGCAGATTCTGTGGGAGATACGTGGGCTTTCTCCTGTGGAACTGTAATATCTGCTGGTTTGCTCAAGAGCTGGGAGGTGGTGATGGCCTGAGCTACGCATGATCATGGAACCCCCTGACACTTATGGGCACTGGGCAGCCTCACTGCCTGCCTGGACAAGCCCCAGGTCTGGAACCTGGCGCTGCTGGCCACTGGCTGCAGCCTGCCCAGCCATCATGCGTCTGGAATTCAGACGGGAAGCTGCCTGGCCTGGCGGGGAAGGGGCCTGGCACACAGCTCCTCTGGCCCCAAGCAGCCCCTCCCCAGCCCTGGGGGCCAGCCCAGATCTGTGTACCAGCTGGGCTCTCACCCCCCTCAGCCCCATTGGGTGAAGATGCTGTCCCCAACCAGGTAAGCCGGTGTCTGCAGGCGGTAGAAAGAGCCCACTTTCCAGGGAACACCCCAGAGAGACGGGTGCAGTCCCCCATCACCCCGAGAGGCTGGGTCAGGGGGTCCTGCTACTTTTCTGGCCATGGCAGTTGTTTTTCTAGAGGCACTCTGGGCGTCCTCCCACTTCTGTCTCTACACCCTGTGGCCCAGAGCCAGGAGGGCTGTCTTGCAGCCAGAGTCCTGGCAGGACCCCAGACTGACCACTGGCTGCTCCAGGACAGGAGGCCGGGGGTGGACACAGACACGCCGAGGTGGGGTCAGGTCAGAGGTCAGGTGTCCAGGCCCATGCACTGCAGGGGGGCTGTGACCCTGGGCTGTGGGGTTTGCCAGGACAGGTCAGACTGGTCAGCCACGTTCTCCAGGACAGGTGTCCTACAGTGTCCCTGCCGAGTGCTGTCCCGGTGCCGGCGGGATTGGATCAGGTTCTCTGGACATGTGGTGGCCAGTGGCCAAGTCCATGGTATAGGACTCAGGGCTGCTTTGGAGGGACGCGGGGCCCAAGGGATAGCCTTGGCCCAAGGGATAGCCTTGGCCGCCGTGCTCCCAGTTCTGTGGCTCCAGTCATGGCAGGGCTCCCGAGGGCTGACAAGGTGCCTGCTGTGTCCTTGCAGGCTATTTCCACCACAGGCCACAAGATCCATCCTTCCGTGGCGTCTGGCTTGTGGCCTGGAGAGCTGCCCCCAGATGGCCCTGGGGCAACTCCTAATCCTGGGGGTCCAGGGGCCAGCTGAGCAAGGGTGTTCACTGGGCCCCCAGTGTTGGGACCAGGCTGGGGGAGACAGATGGGCACTTGACGGGGCCCAGGGGCTTCATGTCAGCCTGCAGACCACCCTGACCATGTCCTCCTCAGGGCCACCATGCCCACCTCTGCCCCTTTGCTCTCTCTCATGCCAGAGCTGTGCTGGGGACTGTGGAGGGGTTTCCTGCAAACCAACATAGGGGTCTGCAGCCCCACAGGGCCAAGGACAGAAGATGGGGAGGGCAGGGGCCTCCTGTCCCCCAGGGACCCCAGTCCTGGGCCTCCCTTGAGTCCGGAAGTCCCTCCTCCCGATGAGCCTGGTCGCCGCTCCCCTGGCGGGCAGCCCTCAGCAACAGCAGCCGTGACAATTGACCCTCCTTGTGACCACCGTGACCCCTAATAGGAGCCCCAGCCCTGGGAAGGAACCGCAGACAAGGATGCTGTCCCCAGAAGGGGAGGGTGTGCGTGCACGGGATTTGTGTGGGTGCGTGTACGGGTGCATGAGTGCCACGGCTGTGGCAAACACTGCCATGCCTCTGCGCTGTGTGAGACACACGCCTTGGTGTGTGATGTGTGTCACTGTGTGCGGTGCTGTCATGCATGTAGGTCTGGTGTGGCTGTGTGGAGTATGCTGGTACACGTGTGCGTGGCGTGCTCTGGGCAGCACGTGTACGTGGCGTGCTCTGGGTGGCATGTGTGCGTGGCGTGCTCTGGGCAGCACGTGTGCGTGGCGTGCTCTGTGGGCGGCATGTGTGCGTGGCGTGCTCTGGGTGGCACGTGTGCGTGGTGTGCTCTGGGTGGCATGTGTGCGTGGCGTGCTCTGGGTGGCACGTATGCGTGGCGTGGTGCATGTGATGTGACACTGAATGAGCTGTGGTGCACATGTTTAGTATGGCACACGTGTATTTGGTGCAATGCATGTTTGGTGTGGCCTGATGTGTGTACACGCGTGGGCCTCACTGTGCCGGTACCCCCTCTGTTTTTGAGGAGCCTTAATGTAGGTCGCTGGGGCCCCAAGGGGCAGCTGTGGCAGCCCAGGCTTGGCACAGTGCTCACTTGTCATAAGAATGGTGGCAAGTGTTGGGGGATGTCAGCGGAAGGACACAGCCAGCACCTCCGCTGGCATCTGGAAACCCAGCACAGCCACCGCCCTCCAGGGGCCCTCCGAAAACGACACGGACGCAGACACTCCGAGAGGTCCATGCTATACCCGAACAGGGAAGCCCTGGGTGGACGCACAGAGCTGCCGGGCCAGGAAGGCAGGGCTGTGGCAGGCACTCGACACAGAGTGACGGCCACGAGCTCTGCCCACATCCTCGGAGCAGCAACCAGGAGCCCCACCCGGGGCCACGGATAACCAGCCACGGGCCCCACCCGAGGCCACCTGTAAGAAGTGTCCAGACACCTGGCCCGGGTCCTTGGACTCGCTTGTAAGAACATGTCCTACTTAATGAAAAAGACAGCAGTGGACACAGGCCCCGTTGTAAAAGGAGAACATGGCAGCTCATTTGGCGCTGCAGCAAAAGCGATGACAGCAAAGGATGTTGGTGAGTGGAGCCAGTGGACACTGCGAGGGTGACATTGTGGGACCGGTGCAATCGGCAGCATTCCAGAACTGTCCAAGCCGCCTGGACGGCACCTCGGAACGTCCACGAGGAGACTCTGGGTCGGCATGAGGTGGCAGTTCCTCATCCGGGGATTGGGATGTGAGG